CGAGAGCAAAAGGAAAAAAATTGGGCCCCCACCCCTAAGAAATCCTGGATCCGCGCCTGTGTTAGTCTGCCGGGGCCGAGTACAAGTACACGAAGTCCTGACTTCATCCCGTTTATCACATTAAGTCCTCCTCCAGGAAAGGGGCCATATCAATGTAAAAACTATGGCAAGCCCCTCAAGGACTTCTTCAGTGAGTCTTGTCTACTCAGGCCTGATCCCAGCCCACCCATTTTTCCTCCTGGTGAAACACCGTGGCATGTGGTCATAATTGCTGTCACTGTTATCCTCGTCGCGTTCGTCGTCATCATCGTATCATTCGTCGTTTGGAGGTTCAGGTTGATAAACTACTATCATCACCGCATAGGGGTTTCCTTTCAGCGCCAAAATTACGGAGCTGTGGGAGACAACAACCATGAATATGTTTATGATGCCTACGTCAGTCATCACGATGACGACAAGTCATTCGTCGAAGATGAGATGCTTCCTCGTCTCGAAGACGAACACGGCTTCGATATGTGTGTCTCCTTCGGTCCTTCCGCAACTTCCGCCTGGATTCCAACATTCTGGAGAATGTGTCTTCGGCTCAGGATGTCAGTCGTACATTATTATCATCATATGGAAAAGTGGTGTCTTTTGGCGAGTCTCGAACGCATGCTCGCGCATGTATTATAACCAATGGGCACAGGCTTCAAAAACCGTTCTCTCGTCAAAGATATTGGTGTAATTTGGTGTAATGTAATGTGTCCTGCCAGTGTCACAAATAAATTATAAAAATATGTTCATCTGACCGTAATCGAATGCCTAAACCCCTGAGCTTCCGGGGGCTCTGCCCCCTGGACCTCACTGGATGCTAATCTAACGGTAATGTAATGCCTAAAACCCTGAGCTTCTGGGGGCTCCGCCCACTGGACCTCACGCCAATCAGTGTCCTGCCAGTGTCATAAATAAGGTATAAAAATATGTTCATCTGACCGTATTCAAATTCAGGAGTTTCCGCACCCTCGACCCCACCAGGGGCCCTGAGGCGGGCCCCGGAATGCTTATCTGACCGTAATTTGCCTTCAACCCATGAGTTTCCGGGGGCGGACAAGGTATCAAAAGATGTTCATCTGACCAGGGGGGCAGTGGGGGCGGCCCCCCCAAAAAAACACCGCCGGCCAAAAAAAAAGAGGAGAGAAAAGAAAAGGACGTATTAAGGGAAAGGAGCAGACAAAAAACATTTTTGAAATTCAGACAAGGATTAAGAGTCGAAAACGGTACAACGAATCGTCTTGTTTCTCTAATAATTAAATTAAATGTCAAAGCTTCCGAGCTTTGCGCGGGAGGGGGGGGGGTGAATTTAGACGAGGATTGAGAGTTAAAAACGGTACAACGAATCGTCTTCTTTCTCTAATGATTTAATGAAACGTAAAAGTTTCCGCGCTTCGCGCACGCGGATGGGAGGGGGGGGGGAACTGAATTCAGACGAGGATTAAGAGTCGAGAACGGTACAACGAATCGCCTTCTTTCTTTAATGATTTAATGAAACGTAAAAGCTTCCGCGCTTCGCGCGGGGGGGGGGGGGGGGGGGGGAACTGTATTCAGACGAGCAGACGCATACGCAGGGGGGGGGGGGGTAAACCCCCCTCCCTTCGGGTTTTTTTATGTGTGTATCTTGGAGCAAACCCCCCCCCCCCTTTGTGACTTTTTTTTTAAATAAAAAAAAAATTAAAAAAATTATGCCAATGGGGACCTCACCCCCCCCCCCCCACGGAACAAAATGTCGAATTTTCAAATTTCGAGACCCCCCCCCCAAAAAAAAAGTGTCCTCTTATCCCCCCTCCCCCCCCCCCCCCCCCCCCCCCCGCTTATTCAGCGGCTGGCCGAGTCGTTGCGAAAAAATTTGGGACCAACAAAAAAAGTGGGCCCCGGCCCCGGCCCCCCTAAGAAATCCTGGATCCGCGCCTGATATAGTATGTTAGTAAATGAGTCTTGTCAGTATATAACATTATATTGATATGTATTATTAATAGATTCAAATAGACAAAGCGGGTTAGGGGCGATGTTCTACGCCCCCTCCCCTCCTAAGAAGAAAAAAGAGAATGAAAGCCAGTATCATAATAATAATAGTAGTTGTATAAAGTCTGGAAACGTTGTTGTTGTTGTTGTTGTTGTTGTTGTTGTTTCGTTAGTTTTAATTGAATGGGAGGGGAAAAAAGCCCTCTTTCGGATAATCCTAGATCTGCTTCCGGTATTTCGCCCTTCTTTTTCCGCCTCTTCTCACTTCCTCAAATATCTTATCAATATCATTATTATAGTTATGTTACTATATTCTACTGTCTGAAAAAAGTGGCCCACACACAAGAACAATACCATTGTAGCGGCTCTTACATTCGCCCTACTTTTATCGTACATTCATGTTCACAGTTATTTTCCATCACGCTACTTATTTATATTCATTATTCGGACCACGTATGTTTTTCCTTCCATTCACGCAACGTGTTTCCGCGCACTCCTTTACCCGCGTATTTTCAACGCCACGAGGTTTTTCTCCACTTCCGCTTTCACCTTGGTCGAGTCAAGACGTCTCCATGATTTCCTCTCAATTAAGGCTTTATCTTCTGTGCTTTTCGTCTCTTCTACGGCAGATCTACCTTTTCTCTGCCGTCTCCGTCGGGCTGCAGTCTCCCAGTTGGAATGTTATAGTCAGAACCGACATGGCGCCTGACTCTCCGCTGGGAGCTGCCAGTTTCTTCGTACCGGTAGCTCTTTTCACTCACGAGCTCGACTCACCGTAGTTTGTCTGCTATGTCATCAACTAGTTCGACCTATTGCAACTCTGATGATTTCACTTCAAAGTCTGGCTCAACGATTCATCGAGCGACCTCACTGCTCCGTTCTAACCACCGACTTTGATGTCTACATTTATACTCTTTGCCTCCGACCTCGAACGACCCACTGTTCCGTCGTCGAGCGCCACATCTCTTCTCTTCTCTTCTCGCCTGAGAGCTTCTTCACCATCTTCATTACGAGCGTCAGCGTCGAGATTCTTCACGGCTCTTCAGCCACGATAACGAAGCTACATCTCCGCCTTCAAGCCTCCGCATCATTCATCGCGTGAGCCCCTTTCTTCGTTCTTCACATCTCTTCATTTTCCTTGGACTTTCGACGTCATTTCCATTCTGTCGTAAGCTTTTATTCATCATGTCCATAGCATTTATTCAAGTTATTCTCATCCTTGATCATTATGTAATCTCCGTGCAATATTCTCATTCATGTGATTCTCATAATTCCGAATCACGACATTCATTTGCTTGCATGACGACACTTTGCAAGTGTTTGGTCTGCAACATCAGTACCCAATAAACATAACGAAAAGGGAATACTTTCTTTCTTGTATTCTATTGCCAGTGCAACCTTGCTTCCTCGTAGTTATGTTGTGTGACCAGTGAACACGCCTTTACAATGTAATTCACAATACCCCACACACTCATTTTTTTCTAAACCATTTAACATCTTTTATTGCTTTCTGTCGACATATATATATATTCAAACAATACGAATGCATAGGAAAAGATGAAGTACAAGACTTCATAAAAGAATTCTGAACTCTTACAAACTACACAAAATTTAGTTTAAAGGTAAAGACGAGTTATATGGTCATGCGATTGCATTGTGAGAGAAACGTTGTGGAATCGATCAGAAAAGGTTGATTGTCTAGCATATAAGTATTGGTGTGTACTGCAAGGTTCTGGAATCATCAACATGATAAGAAATTTGGCCCAGTCTTCGTAAAGTTACGAGCACTGTACACAGAAAGATGTATATGGGACTATACGCACACGTGCGCGACACGTGCGTTTATCTCTCACAGACCATGTAGATAAACTTATTTACCAAATATATCAATTAGTAGGCGGTTGCCCGGCGAAATTTTTATCATCATGTATTAGTCAAAACATATTCTTTCACATGATTGGTAATAAGAGCTTCAATTTCATTTTTTTTTTAATGGGGCGTTTCCAATACTGGTCTTTACCTTTAACAATTCAGTTTAACAATTTATTGAAACAATATAAAATTATATTCCAGAAATATATATTAAGTTCTTTGAGCAGATTCATACAAAATAGAAATTCGGTATGAAAGTTATATAGAACTGTTGATAATAATTATCTTCATTCTAGATTTCGTAAATGTGTTTTAATATTTTCACGTTTCTTCTGTATAGAGAGGCACTGAACAATAAACATCCGTAAGAAATATCATAAGCTTTTGACGAATTACAAAGATGCATTTTATACTCTGCAAATGATGAACTTGAAAGGAAAGTGGGTCATTACCACAACAATTAGATGTCTCATTACCATAATACGCGTGGCAAGACATGCAGTACTATGCACTATCATGAATCATAATTTCTTTTCATATTTTAGTCAGTAAAACCTGGAGAAACATTCTTTTCTTGATATATGTGACGGATAATATATCATTATACATCAAAATTAACAAATTGGGTGAACATACAAAAACACTTCAGATTGAAAAATGCTCGACAGGAGTCGAAGAGTTGATTATAGCAATTAGGGGCTCCTACAACCCACCCGTTAATTAAAAAACAAACTTTGAGCTCTGAGACATGACATCGCAGAATAGTTTCAATAAATATATTCATTCTTGGTAGTGGCTCATAGGTCAAAGGTTACGATAAGAATTTATGATGAAAACGTCAGAGGTTAAAGCCCATCTGTACTATTTTGGCCAGGAGGGATGAGACCACCCAGCGTGGTCACTGACAGGTGGCTATAATTATCATCAACTCAGCTCTCAATAAATTTAACATAAAAAAGAGGATCATGGGGGACCAACGGGCACCGCCTAGGCATTGTTAACTTTATAGAGGGAGCAGGTAGCTACAGGTAGTACTGTGGGGCTCTAAATAAATGTGCTGGAAATCCTGTTGAAACTATTTCGTCTTTAACTTTCACTTTATACTCTACTTCTAAGACTGATTATATAAGAAGAACTGTTCATCTAAATAATTTCTTCGCAACGTTTACACTCTTCAATCATGACTAAAAAACAATCAGGATTATGACGGCATATTACAAATCTAGCAAAAACTTCGCGACCGAATGTATAACAAGTATTGTTCATGTAAATAATTTCTTCGCAACGTTTACACTCTTCAATCATGTCTAAAAAACAATCAGGATTATGACGGCATATTACAAATCTAGCAAAAATTTCGCGCCCGAATGTTTAAGAAGTATTATTCATGTAAATAATTTCTTCGCAACGTTTACACTCTTAAATCATGTCTAAAAAACAATCAGGATTATGACGGCATATAAAAGATCTAGCAAAAACTTCGCGACCGAATGTATAGCAAGTACTATTCATGTAAATAATTTCTTCGCAACGTTTACACTCTTCAATCATGACTAAAAAACAATCAGGATTATGACGGCATATCACAAATCTAGCAAAAACTTTGTGCGCTATGCATGATACTCCTCCACCACGTAATAGTCATACTTCACAGAAAATGTTTATACAAAGAGTCTTGGAAAACTGTCTTTCAGAGGTTTATGGAAATGAAAGACAAAATGATATGCTAATGATTTGAGTTGCAAATAACGATTTTTACAAGATTAAGTAGAGGAGATAGAGGAGAACTATGCTGAATACAGACAGTGAGACGGTGGTGGCGCTGTCTGTCACGTTGGTGGCGCTGTCTGTCACGGTGGTGGCGCTGTCTGTCACGGCGGTGGCGCTGTCTGTCACGTGAATTTTCCATCCGAGGAAACGATGAGTGTAGCACTGTAGAAAGAAAAGAAAAAACAAGAAAAGGTAAATAATTGTCAATGACCATATAGACAGACATTATTGGCTGACAGATTACTACAACATTTGTTCAGATAAAACATGATTGCTCTGGTTGTCTTGTTTTCGCTCGCTGAACCAACGTAGCACAAACGTAGCTAGTTCGACGGCACTACCAAACTAGAATGTTGCACTATGTTACAGGGTGTATATGCCAATGACTGAACCGGGTGTGCGGAAATGGTGTGTTGGGGAGGGGAAGTGAGAGTGTTCGTGTGTGTGGTAATTGTATGTGTGTCAAAAATTAAAGACTAATAATGACAGATGGCTAATCATAAATCTACAATGACGAGTAACTGTCTACATCACAGTCCACAGATAAATGTGACTTGAACGTAATATATAGCAGAAGGCAATCGGCGGATCAGACGTCACTTGATAGTGATTTTGTATGTGAGATTGCTTTGCTAAATATAAAATACAAGAACCTTTTCCATATCTTTAAACTATCATTGATATCTGATAACTAAACAGTTAGTAAAATAAACCTACCAAACTACATAATTCAATGAAATACTTGACTTAACCCTAAAAAAGGCCGGGCTATTTGAGGACTTAGTACGGCCGGGGAGGGGGGGGGGGGCATTATGGCCCCCCTTAAGATCTCGGCCGTGAAAAAGCGAAAATTTGCACGCATGTCAAGTGAAGTGTATAGAATATTAAGATAATTTCATTTTTTTGAAAAATATTACTCATTTGCATATTTATGGTAATTTATGCAAATAAGTTCATAACAATCACATTTTAACCCATAAATCATATACACTGTCGCTCATAAAGGTGGATTTTTTTTTTTTTACCCCGAATGAAGGAATTATTTTAAAAATAATTTAAAAATAATTGATCTAGATAATAGTATACATTCTCAGATTTTATTGAATAATAATTTGCCCATGTGTTTTTTGCGTGACTGCTGAAGCATGGGTATGCTACTATGCTTAACAACTAGGGGACCTACGCCCTTAAGTCATAAATGACAGTAATGGGGATTAATGCCCCACAAAAGGGCACTAATATAGCACAACGACACAGTTTTGATCCTGGGGCCTCACAGTTACGAGGCCATTGCTTTGTCACTGAACCATAACTGTACGCAGCGGGGGCTAAGGTAGGGGGCAGTTTCCATAAATATATATTTAAAAAAAAAGAAAATGCAATATATTTTCAATAATTTATTGCATTTTACCTTGGTCCCCAACATAAAAAATCCTCTGGACGGCCATGCATTATGGCTCAAGGCATGGGCACACAGAATTTTTTTTTTTGCTGGACTCTGACTCTGACTCTGACTATTCGGAGCCATATGCCAGATGAGCAACTCCATAACTTCTGTACAACATGAAGCATAACAATTGGTATCCTTGATTTAGATGTAATAGATGAATGAATAGAAAGGTATATAGATATATAAATATATAGAAAGATAGATAGGTCGATTGATAGATAGATAGGTAGATAGTCACTTCTTCGGCGACATTCGGATGATGTAGCTATCTTTCTTCAGCTTCGCTTCGGAAAGATAGCTACATCCAGATCGCCTCGGAAGTGATAGTTTGCCATCGCCTGAAACGAAAAGGTGATTATTTGCTTTATATTCCACATCGGAATCATTTCATAGATGTACATAGTACTACTTTTTACACAGTGCAATTGTTCTTCTTCCATCAATGATGGGCGAACTATCTTTCATCACGTGATTTACTTTTGACCAATCGTAGCGCAAGATTCTTTGTATGTGGAATATAAATAGATATATATGTAGGAAGATAAATATATACATTCATACATACATATAAATACAGATAGACAAAGAGACAGCCAAACAGACAAACAGAAAGATCGCCAGAATGACACAACTTCTCTCACCTGGTAGTAAAGCAGATCAGGTGCATCAAGCGGGACGGTCCACTCGAGTACGCCCGGATCACCGGGTGCGCAATCCTTGGTCAGGGTCGTCTTATAGTCTTCAAACGTGCTGTACGAATTAGGGTCTGCGCTGCTCATGTACTGGCAAAGTGGACCCTCTGTCAAATTAATAACATGAATTTACCGTGACCAAACGAATTTAGTATTAAAGGGAGATGGTCGGCAGTTTCCATGTGCAGTCTAGGTTATATATTGCTAACACCAGACTAGGTGGAAATATCATTAGTGCATGGGTGTTCGAGTCTCGCAAACAGCAAACCAGTCCAATTAATTACCCCCCCCCCCCTGACAGTCTTTTGGATAGTCTTCGGTTGAGGGAAATGTAAGATAATGACTTATCCATCTGTGGCGATTGGTGGTAAATGCAGAGTATTACATAAATGGTCATAAAACTGAAGGCTAATCTTTCTAAAGGATCGGGCAGGCATTCGAACCCTCAACTCTTGGATTGAGAGTTATGTGAACGAACCCATTTCATTTGCAAATTCAATCATCATACAATATTTATTGCCTTATTCAAATTGTGTCCATATATAATTCAGTAACAGGAACATACAATCCAGTTTTGAATAATTATGTGTTGTTCATAATGGCAAAGCGGATGCTCCTTGAATATATTACAGGAGTTTTTCATCAAGATCCCATTTTTAGATTTATTTTGAATTATTTCTATATACATTATTATTATCATCATTGCAGGGATACTGTAAATAGAGCATGTCTCTGATCCGTTATTATACACAAATTAACAGTACATGTTGAAATCATATAGTAAAAAATGACTTTATAGTGACAAACTGTGTTGAAGGACTACCTGTCTATAAATACCACATTCTTTGTTCCCCATAAAAAGCATAAGAATCAAATCATCACATAATAATTCCGCTCTTATATAGCGCTTAATTTATACATCTATGATGTCTCTAAGCGCTTTACGTGTGTAAAAAGACAGAAATACATAATTCTGGGTTGAGTTTATTTGTATATCAAAGTAGTTTCTTCAGGGTTATTTTTTGCCGGAAAGGTTTCATGGGGGTTAAATAAAACATTTACATGTTTACTAACTGCCAATTAGACCCGTCGAAACACACACAGAAAAGGTACATTTAAGGATGGAAAAGGTATATACGAAATTTAAAAAAAAGGAGAAACGGTTCGACTTACCATTAGGGCCTGCGTAGATCGCAATACCCTGAAAAAGAGAAGAAGAGAAGAAGAAGAAACAAATTAGCAAACAGAATAATGGTGACTGTGATTATTGCATGAATTTCTAAAATCACACGGAAATGGTCCTTCATTCCTAAAAGGGGACTTGACCAACAAAGGTTGAAAAGGGCTGCTTTAGACATTCGTGTTTATACACTCTATATTGGTATTCTATAATAATAGTAATGCTTTCCCTGTAGTGTCTATAACTATTGTAGGGTTCGTGGGATACACATGTTATTTTCATGTTTACAAAACCATATTGTTACCATAATAGAAGCCTTAAACATAATAAGAATGCAGGTAACGTAACTAATCAGAGAATATATCATTCAACTTAAAAAAGAACTATTTTAATTTCATTTTTGTTTAATCTCTGCTTCTTGTGATTAAGACATTTTGTTACATAATTATGTTAAAAGTCTCCAAAACGGTTATCTTTAAGGTCTTTCAAGAATATGCTGAGACGTTTTTGTGAAGTTGGGCTGGTTTTTTGTATGAAAAACAATAAGTCCGTTTTATCGGTAGATAATTTGACACATGTACGACTGATGTAATCATATTTGCTTTTGTCACTATGTCATATTGCTCTTTTTCGTGTTCGAATATAATTATGGTAGGGTCCATGATTACATAAATATAAAGTCCTTCAGTGAAAGAGAGAAAAGGTCTCCAAGACAAGACAGTGACGTATGCCAAAGATTAGATCGCAAACAAATGATGTGTGCATTACGTAATACGCCATTGTAATATTCACACATTTCAAAAAGGTGATGAAAAAATGCTGATTTTCGAAAGTCTTTGCGATTGTATTACAGCTATGAAATCATCGAATCGAAAGAGCGCCCTTTTGCCATTCGAACTGCGCCAGAAGATACCAGCATGACAAACTCACCTGTCGTTCTGCTTCGGTGAGCTGCGCATAGCCACCGTTGACGTCATCAGTAATATAGAAGGGATGATAGTTACCACTAACGACCGGGTCATCTCCACCACTGACAAGGAATGTGTAGGTCACGTTGCGTCTCAGGGTTAACTCAGGAATTAGCTGACCGTTGATAAACCATGCGATTCCCCAACCAACACGGCCTGCCGTGAAAAACACGATAACGTATTATACAAAATACTATTTCCAAATGATTCACGATTAATTCCGAAATGAATCTGACTGTTTCCATATACGAAATTTCCGAATACTTTCGATACAAATATGCTAGGAAATATGGATGATTCGGACATCTCTGCCAAAGAAATTGCCATTCCATTTTCATTGGTAGGAGGGGTGTCGAATAAAAGCATGCAGCCAGAAAAGCTATAATTTACCATTAAGCTTCCCCTCCCCACCACCAAAAAATAACAACAAACACATGATAATAATAATTTTAAAAAAAAGGGGGGGGGGGGGACAAGGGTGAACAGTTGATGAAATGGGCCTAAAATGTTTTCATTTTCCGACGGAAGTCTATTTTTGGAGTAACACGAAAAACAATGGGGGGGGGTGGGGAGGGTTTGGACTTCTATTGTTTTTGGGCGTGGAGACAAGGCTATACAATAGCAAAATGTTCCCACAAAAGACACCAAAGGGGGAGGAGAGGAGGAGTTGCCACTTGCCACAACCCCAAACTCGCGGATGTGCCTGGAACAATTCTTACCAGTGATATATTCATATCCTTTGCTTCCACCAGACAATCCCATCTCCACGGTGAAGGTAGCTGTTTCAAGTTCTTCAATTCCTGGGATCACCCAGCCATCTGTTACGGGTGGCACAGTAGCATTCTGGCCGAGAGGTGGGCACGTGGAGTTAGGACGTCCGAAATCGATCTGGAGATTTGAAGACTCTAAACGAAAAAAAGATCCTTCATAAATACCAAAGTATATGCTTAACGTAAATGGCATTATGTTGCCTAATAAAATTGGATACTAGTATAATTTGTTTATGTCTTCAAATTAAAAAACAAAAGAAAGAAAGATTGAATTCTTTAGTTTGAAGACGAATGTGTTACATTTGAAGTATGTGTTACATTTAGACCATTATAATTTTCTTCAAGATCCGTTGTGCCTATTATTTTAATCAGCATGATTTACATAAATATATCCGGGCTGTCACGCCTCCAACTTTTTAGTCCATCTCCTACTTTCTGTTGCAAATGAATGACCCACAAACAAATAAAATTTAAACACAGGTATTCAATATAATCTATTCTGGTCAATGTTTCGGTGATAATTGCTCAATCGTTCTAGTTCTGTTGTATAATGAAATGCTTTTTAAATATATCAATTAATCGTTATTTAATCATGTCCATATCGTCGCAGGTTTCACGATCCGTCATATTGAGCCTTTCTTTTCGTTCCATTATATATTTTAAAAATAGATCAAGTCAATCACATTCATGTCAGACTTACTAAGTGATCGTCGTACATTGTGGTAAGCAACACGCCCATCACGATTAATAGGCCCTCGAGCCCAGATGACGTAGATTGGACCATCGGTAGTGAAAGCCTTGTCATATGTTGCGTCTAAGATATGGAAAATAATAATGCATGTAATTGTAAAAGTATAAATTCCAATTACTATACAAATATATTACACCATACAAGTATACTTAACTGCGCAAAACATTGTAATGAGAACAAAAGCAGAAAACAAAAGCGAAAATCACATTAATGCAGAAGAAACTAATGATAAAATATGTTCAATCAGACAGTATATGAGAAAAGGTTTTTCAGACCAGCCTTATATTTTAGTAGGCCTGTTTATTGTAATATAATGGAGTAATTGGTGACCCCCACAAACATATCTAAGGACAGGTATGCCGAGTTTTCAGAAGATTTCGGAGATGATAGTCGTTGATACATACCAAATTGAGAGAGGGAGGTAGTACCAACAAATGTAAACATTCTAGTAGCAGATTTGGGCCCATGAAGTAGGCACATACCCCTCCCCTCTTCCATCCCCCATCCGCCAGTTCTTCCTTTGTTATCAATTAAAGATAAATTTTAGTACTGGTAGTAAAAACGTATTGACAACAAAACTGATAATTTATGGTCATAAAATGTTTGATGGATACTAAAATATAAAATGTGATCAATAGTTTTCGATTCTCTTGACGCATTTTGAAGAATTCTGGTTTTAAAAACAACCCTCGTCTGATACCCTTTTCGCGAGAAAACCGTTGAATGACTTGTTTGAATGTGATTACGGTCTAACGCCCTCTCTCGGTTGAACGAAACCCACGGCGGTTTCAGTATCTGAAACTCGCACAGAATCTCGCCCAGTGTGAGGAGTGTCGTCTGCTAGCGACCTTTCTCGCTGTGCTGCCGTCTTTGCAGTTAGTAGCAAGTTGCACGCATGCACAATGACTTGCTGATCGCTCGGTTACCTGCGCTATACAGTTGCCCTGCACTGGTCGCAGAGCTATATCCATGTCTGGCTATGCAAAAATTACAACATCTCACCGGACAGTACGGTGGTCAACAAATGCTCAACAAAAGAAAATACTCCAACAAAACGATGTGCTTAGATGTACTGATGTCTTTTTTGTGTCTTGTAATAATCTACCTATCTTTCTCTTTGCTGGCAGGCCCTCGAAAACTGTCTTGCAAGATATAGTTGCCGATCACGCTCATGTGCACATGCAGTAACATAGCTCTGCTCGTGCCGGGGCTGTTCGCGCGCTTTTCCCGCCCCCCTCCCTCTCTTTCGTTCGTTCATATACCGGGTTGGCAGATATATAATTTGATCTCATTAAAATTAATATTTATGTATGATATTATCCAGGATTTTGTATCTGAATAAAAATTTATTTCAACAACAAAAACAACAATAGCACATCATCATTACTTTCCCTTGAGCGTATAAAAACAACTATTTCTCTCAAATTTAAGCAGTCATTAATACTATACTAGTTCACTGCATGTGCAATTTACAGAAGCTGAAGAAATGTAAGTAGTCACAACAACTGATCGTGATGCGGAAGTTTTCAGTAGAGCGTTTTCTGTGTGTGAGTTGGCTTTTCGGCGTGAATGAATCGCCACTCAGTTCTGTGATCGCCAGTCGAGAGGACTATATCGAGTTGCTTCCGAAAGAGGGAGCTAAACAGACATATTCGTAATTTTGAATTCGGTTTGTACCAACCCCGACCGTTGAAGAAATTGATGTTTATTTTGCTTTTTTCTCTGCGATTACACAATTTCATTCAAATTCCTCTAGCAAGAGTCATTTATTTGTATTGCTTAATAATTGGTGTGAATTTGAATAGAAACTGTTTCAATGTTTTTTTTCACCATTACCAGAACTAAGTATTTGCTTACCAGATGCAGCTAGAGGTCGGCGGTAAACAATGTTTGTGACTCCGTTCTCCTCATAATATGACTCAACCAATTCTGCGTTGTTGTTACCGTCTTGTGCTGATGAAATTGTATCTGGACAGGCACCACCGCCATTTTGAGGGGAACACTGCAATATTGTGGACATTATTTCAAGTTGTTTTTATTGATATCAAATCATATTGGCACGTGATGAAATGTTGCAAATTACGTCATAAAGGTCAGGTTGGGTCATCGTAGCTGACTAAGGCTGTTGCCGAATAGCTGAATATTTCGGAGGGAAATAACTTTCGAATACATGAATTTTTATTATTAAGCTGATTTTTGATATAAAGTATGACCCCTGCCGGGCTGCGGCCCCTCTATAATATTACAATTACCAATACTCGAACACCAGACACCTCATCATCGGGCATCCGACATTTGCAGTACATTTCTATAACTATGATAGACTGTCCAAAAAAACAATCATTGTTGCTTTCGGGCAGGCAATGTCGACCTCAGGTCAAACTGCTCAAAGTACTGTGAAAGCATGTTTCCCGTAATCATATTGGTCTATATCAGGGGCGTAAATCCCGGGGGGATGGGGGGGGGGGGCTGCATCCCCCTGGCTTGAAGTAGGGGGGGGTGGCCTGTACCAACATCCCCCCTGATATTACAACAAAAAGAGAGAAAAAGGGGAAGAAGAAGAAGAAGGAAAAAATGTGATTGTTTCAATTTCAGCATAATGCATGAGAAATGAGTTATTGTTTTTGTGTATGTATAACTGTATAGCCTACACGTATACAGTATGTCACTATCATTAAGAATAGTTGCGCGACGTGCGCGAACAAGCACTTCATAAACTTCAGAATAATAAGAATCCCACTATATACACAAAATGCATTGGGCCGCACCCCGGCCGGCCGGCCACGCAGTCTTCTGCAAATTGCACCGCATGCATGCTCCACTCTCTCGCGCAATGCAGAACAATTTTTCCTCGCCCGCGCGATCTAGGGGAGGTAGGGGGCCAATAGGTTACCGTGACGACTGCACTGATCTTGATTGCGCAGTGTGTGGTCGAACGGTCAATATAAAGCGCCGTTGCAGGTTCGACCGTTTCAGGAACGGTCTAAAGTTCGCCTTCTCGTCTTCTTTCTATAATAATTAAATAAAACGTCTAGGCTTTTCGCGCTTCGCGCGGGAAGGGGAAACTGAATTCAGACGAGAATTAAGAGTCGAGAACAGTACACCCAATCGTCTGCTTTCTCTAATAATCTAAGGAAACGTCAAGGCTTCCGCGCTTTGCGCGAGAGGGGTGAAACTGAATTCAGATAAATAGGGCTTATTAAGAGTCGAAAACGGTACATCGAATCGTCTGCTTTCTCTAATAATTTAAGGAAACGTCAAAGCTTCCGCGCTTCACGCGAGAGGGGGAAACTGAATTCAGATAAATAGGGCTTAATAAGAGTCGAAAACGGTGCAACGAATCGTCTTCTTTCTATAATAATTAAATTAAACGTCTAAGCTTTTCGAGCTTCGTGCGGGAAGGGGAAACTGAATTCAGACGAGAAATAAGAGTCGAGAACAGTATACCCAATCGTCTGCTTTCTCTAAAAATTTAAGGAAACGTCAAGGCTTCCGCGCTTCGCGCGAGTGGGGGAAACTGAATTCAGATAAATAGGGCTTATTAAGAGTCGAAAACGGTACAACGTATCGTCTTCTTTCTATAATAATTTAATGAAACGTCAAAACTTCCACGCTTTGCGCGGGAGGGGTAAACCGAATTCATACAAAGATTAAGAGTCGAGCACGGTTTAACAAATCGTCTACTTTCTCTAATAATTTAATGAAATGTCAAAGCTTCCGCGCTTCGCGCTGGAGAGAGAGGAAGAAACTGAATTCATACAAGGATTTAGAGTCGAGCACGGTTCAACGAATTGTCTACTTTCTCTAATAATTTAATGAAACGCCAAAACTTTAGCGCGGGGGGGGGGGGGGAGGTCGGTGGGGAAAAAAAACTGAATTCGGACAAGGATTTACAGTCGAGAACGGTACAGCAAATCGTCTTCTTTTTATAATAATTTAAGGAAATGTCTCAGCTTCCGCGCTTCGCGCGGTAGGCCTATCATCCACACCCCCTAATGAGCGCGCTTCGCGCACTCTTTGAGTGATTCACCTGCTCACTACCGCCCCTCCCTAAAATAAAATATATAGCTATGATGCTGACTAAGTTGACGAAATAATTCGTATATTTATGTCGTCGAGGAAAATGACCATTTGCGCATACGCAAGTACTATAGATAGTCCGTAGGAAAAACAATTTAGCCTTCGGCCCCGGGTATATAGGGTTAAATTTGTCATTATTGGGACATTTAATTTTGTCAGTAATTGGGGGCTAGTTTTGTCGGTAATCGTTGGCCTCTACACCCCCCCCCCACTAAAAAAAGGTCTAGCGACGCCCCTTACCATTATACATCATTTTCTAAGTGATGGGAGTCAAAATAAAGAGTTTACATCTTCCTGACGAAATACTCAATCTTTATGTTACTACTTGAAAGTGTGTCGTCTTATTTCGGAGTTCATTATAATTAAACACTACAGTTTGCAGCTGTAAGTATTTCGAAATATATGTCCAATTCATTTACTTTATGGTTGTCAAATTTGGCATGTGCGTGCATGTATGTATGCATGTATAAATTTATGTACATGTGTTTGGGTATGTGTGTGTTTGTGGTGTGTGTGCGCGCGTGTGTGTGTGTGTGTTGTGTGTTTGTGCGTGCGCGATCGCGCGCGCTTGCGTAAATTAGTGTGGGCGTTTGCTCGTGCTAGTATGTGATGGCTATCGCCAATCATCCCCCCACTCCTCGGTACGGATTTACGCCCCTGGTCTATATCTAGTCCGGTGAGTATAAACTTGATTCAAAAAACAAAAAAAAAGAAGAAAAGTTTTTTGTTCGTACCTGAGCTTGGCCTTGAAGATAGTAGTCAACGGCCTGAGGAGCTTTCATATTATCGATGAAAGTCACTACAACATCCCCGCCAACCATCAAAGTACCCGTTGGCGATCCACTAAGACCGAACGCGGCGTAGTCGGCGGTGTCATTGGTGCTGCTCAGTCGGATGACGATGTCGGTGCCGTTGATCATCCAACTCACTTGAAGCTCGTCTTCGACCAGCGTCTCGCAGTTTGGAAACGTCTATAGGTTACGACAACATAAACAGTTAATAGAGCGATAACTTCCCCCTACAAAAAATTGTTAAATCTGATATCCCATTTCGTCTATTTCCTGTTTGTATTTTTCCAGTCATTATTGGCCTAAATCGCCAGTCGGTCTACTGATCGTACAAAGATAAAGATAAAGATACCAGGGGGAAAATTCAGTATCACTGGGAATAGACCCACTGCAAGATTGGCCTTTGGTCTTTGCTAATCAAGTGCATACTCAAATATCTACAGTTAAATTACATATTGAGTATAATACTCTGATTGCTTAATTTCACGATCATTAACACTGTCTTAATGCCTGTTTGTATCTTTTACATTGTTAAAATGATTTCCTATGAATTATATCATTTAATGTAATATAAAATTCAATCCTTCATCCAGTAGAAATAGCTCTACTCGTACTATCCTTATAGACTTCATTTAACCAATTTTTAATTATAGAGAGATCATAACACCACTTAAACCTACGTTTTTCTATTTTGTGGCTTGTAACTTATGTTAGATATATGCAATGAGGATCTGAATAACTTTGAAGATGAATATCTTAGCATGATACATTTATCCACGCCAAATATTATCATCATCATCTCTTTCATGATTACCAATCTCGTTGATCCGCCGGGGGTGAGAGGTGCTGGAGGGATGTTGAGCTCGCCTTGCGAAGGGATGTCGACGTGCCCGAAGTCCTGCGTGAACGCGATGCACCACAGCCCGAAGTGTCCGATGTCGAATATATCTGTACCCTCGGGGAGGGTAAGGGTGATCGTTTCACCGTTGTACGCGTTGATAACACCAGTACTGTGAACGAAATCGGAAACGGGAGGGTAGATGAATAACATTACATTCAAAACGTGCTACCGGTCGCATGATCATATACCTTATCGTTCCTAAATATAAATGAATTATTGAAACTTTTGATTATAGTTTCACTTTATAAAATTATGTTTATAATTTTTCTATGTCATAGCATATTATACTCTTTTGTTTCCCTGCATGTGATTAATCATTTAATGATTTGGGCGTACTTTTTGTTCGATATGCACATATAATTATTTTATGTTCCTTTGTTTTAATTATGTTTAAAGTGATGATGACAAATATATTTTAGACAGGAGTATTATGGAAAATGAGGATTAAAACCAAACTAATCCCTCTTTCATTCCATGACTACATTTTAAAAAAATCATTCCTTCACTTTTTTTACAGAAAAAAATAATTTGTAAGAAATAACGAGGCTACTAAAAATGCCAAATTAAACGTATTCCACGTAAAAAAAAGAAGAAGAGCAAAACGTGGGTAAACAAAGCTAGGGAAATAATCGTTCTCATATTTAGGACCTTTGCTATAGAATCAATTAAAATCGATAATATGTTTTTTAGCAATCAATTGATAAATTATTCATTATTATTTATTATTATTATTATTCCTGAAAAGTAAGATTTTTTCTTCATGCACAGACAGACTAAGATCGAGCCAGAAAATGCTTCTTTATACGATGGTCGAGCAGCACAATTTACTCCACTCCGACTCAAAACCTCATGATTCGTGGCCATTCGGGGGTAATATAATCTTTGCTCAGTTTAATATTAATTTGCAGACACAGACTCTAATTTGACACTTAACCATTATTTCTTAAGCCTTGAACAGAGCCTAGCTCTGTCAGCATTCAGCATGGTCTCATATCAACCCCACTGACAAGGACATGTTCCTTCAAACTATTGGTCTACAACTAGTTCGTCTACTATCCAATTAGTCTATTCCCATAAGGTCTACACCCAGCCAGTCTACTTTCCACATGGTCCAGTAACCATTTCGTCTACTTATCACCTGGACTATTGACCATTTAGGGTAATAATCATTTGGTCTAATCTCCAATAAGTTTAATTCCCAGTTTGTCTAATGCCCATTAGTCTAATTGCCAGTCGGTCTAATTACCAGTTTGTCTAATGTACATTTCGTCTACCATAAGGTTTAGTTATCAATTGATGATTATAATTATTTATGATTAAATGATTATTAGACCGAATGAATAGTAAACGAAATGGGCATTGGGCGACCTGGGAATTAGACCGACTGGCAATTAGACCAAATGATTGATAGACCAAAAAAAATATTAGCATAAATGGTCATGGGTGGACGAAATGATTATGAAACCATGTATATAGTAGACGTGTTGGGTGAAGACCATATGGGAATAGATTAATTGGGTAGTAGACGAACTGGCTGTAGACCAAAAGGCAATTCACCGATCTGACGTAGGTCTCGTCGGTTTAAATAGGTTATTTATTAAGTCACGTATATGAAAGTAGCTATTCAATGACAAGTAATTACAAAGACTATGTCATCGAGGCCAACCTATTTTGCCTTTTCCTTGTTGAGTTTATATACCACTCTAATCAAATCAATTACCTTCCCGTTTCGTCTTGAATTTCATAGTCGCCAACATTGTTAGGGGTCCCTCCCGGTCCAACCCAGAAATATGCTCCTGAGTGGAGAAGAAAAATGATGAAAGGAAATCAAAGAAATGAAGAAAAAAATAACGTTAAACAATCAACGAACAAAAGAGGTGGCTTTTAGATTGGTAAATTGCTCCTTTTTGTTTTTGCTCATTATCGATTTGTCCAATCCCCACTCGTCTCATTGCATTTCGTTTTTTCGTCATGAGATCTCGTTTGCTTTTAATTTCCACTCGTCAGTTGGTATACTGCCTGTTTGATCCATTTTCCTTTTCGTATCATAACTGATTGGTGTAAAAAAAAAATTTGGCTTCTCACATAAATAAAATTAAAGTAGTGTGCTAGTTTGTATTCGTTTAAAAAAAAAACTGACACGGGTCAAAGCATCACAGGGGCATCACATAGCACAATTATGATAATATTTTTTTGGTGCCAAATTCTTCGTTGTTACTCCAGAAAAAAAATGAAAGGGAACCCCTGACAACTACCAGCCATTAATCATCAACGTGATTCTTCCGTTGGAGCATTGAACTTTGAATATCAGGCTCATGTATATATAATAATTTCACATCTGACTCTCATTCTTGCCAAGATTTGCCAACAAAACATTCGTAAGGAATTGTAACACCCCTCTGTCTGTCTGTCGATGCTCATGATCGCAGGTCCTCTACAAAGAACATGTTATACAAAAACCTGTCTACAGCGACCGCCCAAGGGAAGCAAAAAATATGCTCGTTGTAGACAGGTGGTCTTTGTAGACAGGTGGACACTAAAGCAGGTTTGACTGTATTATCTTACTTGGTCCTTGACCATCATAGACCAGATTCTCAACTCGGATCTGCTTTGCGTTTAAGATGATCACGGCAGACGCATAGGTGTTGTGCACACGAGGTGCGAAGCCGAGGGCCCCCAGGTCCAGAGGGGCAGGGGCTATGAAGTTGGCGGGAACAGTCAGGTCTCCAAAATTTGCCTGTATGGTTGAAAAAAGCAGTAAAGACCAAAATATAGAAATGTCAATTCATTTCGTTCAGTCTTGCTATATTAAAGTGTATTATATTTTAGTCGGAGTAACTTCAAAGAATTTCCCATGTGTTTTCTCCTCAATTAAACAAAATAAGTGATATACAGTCAAACCTGTCTCAGCGACCGCCCAAGAGAAACAATAAATATGCCTGTTGTTGATGTAAATGTAAATGTAACTGTTTAAATGTAAATGTAAGCGTAAATGTAAAAAAAAATAGGAATGTAATCTCTGGAGTGTGGTGGAGTAAAATGGTCAAATTAGTTTTATAGGGTGTGTGCGGGAGGGAGGGAGGGAGGGAGAGAGGGAGAGAGGGAGAGAGAGAGAGGGAGGGGGAGGGAGGGAGGGAGAGAGAGAGAGAAAGGGAGGGAGGGAGGGAGGGAGAGAGAGGGAGAGGGAGGGAGGGAGGAAGAGAGGGAGAGGGAGGGAGGGAGGGAGGGAGGGAGAGAGAGGTAGTGAGAGGGAGGGGAAGAGGGAGGGAGGGAGGGAGAGAGAGGGAGAGGGAGGGAGGGAGGGAGAGAGGGGGAGAAAGAAAGGGAGGGAGAGAGAGGGGGAGAAAGAAAGGGAGGGAGAGAGAGAGAGAGAGAGAGACGGGGTGGGGTGGGGTGGGGTGGGGTGGGGTGGGGTGTGAGGCATCGTCAGTGCCGCTCTATATAAAAATGATCAAAATTGGGTTGGAATGACCATCGGACCATCGGAAAAAAAGCTGCCCCCCCCCCCCCCCCCCCCCCCCCCCCCAAAAAAAAAAAAAAAAAAAAAAAAAAAAAAAAAAAAAAAAACCTAAAACAAACAAACAAAACCTTCCGACAAAAGTGAAACATGAAACATGCGGGTGAAATTTCATTTAAAAAAAAATCAAACATGGAAGGCAAAGTTGGAATAAGTTACATGAGCGGACCCGTGACGGGGAGCACAGGAAGAGGCACAATCTCGAGAACGGGAATAAGCACAATCTTGCAAACCTGAAGAACAAACAGGTAAAATGGCTCAAAAATGTGTGCTCATGTGCCCTGGCAGATTTTGGCACTGAAAACACAAATGGAAAATGTAAGAACCTTTTGCTTTCCAGAGATATTTGGCCTAAAAATTCACCCCAAAATGGAAGATTTTCCGGACAAGTACCCACCCCCGCCAAGAACTCCTGTATTTGCCATTGAATAAAAAGCGAGGAGAAAGCGTTTTCCATACCGCAAATCGTCGACACCAGACCGAGATCCAAGCTAGAGACGATACAGTTTTTCCTGCCGGTAGGGTCACGCTGATATCTACGTTGTCATACGCTTCAAGCTTTACCGTTCTGCACAGGAGAGAAATATAAAGGCTGGTTTATGGCGAAAGAAGAAGAAAGTACTACTACTCAACCACGACTACTCCTACTACTACTTCTACTGAAACTATACCACCCAGGAGCGGCGATCCCTGGGGAACGAAGGGGGGGGGGGGGTGGGGAATCACGTCCCACCTCGACTTTATTAGGGGGGGGGGGGACGTGCAACAAAGTGCAACCAAACATAGCAAATACTGACTAAAGACTGCAACACACTAATTTTAGGCTATGGAGGGCCCAAGAGCGCATCTTTTAGACTAATACAAATGCAAAAATCTTCTCGCTCCCTCGCATAATATCCTTCAAAATATACAGGTAAATATTGTAGAAAATCTGTATTCCGTTGGTATCACCTGTGAGGAGGTAGTCACTCCCGTCACCTTCGCCCCTCTCGTTCACTATGCTCCCTCGTCTCTTGCATTTTGTCCCCCAGTCATGAAAAGAAATCGCCGCCCCTGCTACCACCACCACTACTAATACTACGAGGACGAAGATGATAACGACGACGGCGACTACAAACCCTGTTACTACTACTTCTCTACCTCCCCTACCACTACTACTACTACCAATCACCACCACTACTATTACTACTACTACTACTACTACTACTCTTGATACAACGACTTTAACTACTGCTAACTCTATTGTTACTACTCTACTACTACATCTGGGCCCTGTTTCATAAAACTTGATATCAGTAACAAGTTACAAGCTACTGTTATAAGCTACTAAAATCATGGCATCTGATTGGCTGAGAGCAAATTTGTCACAGAAATTTAGCAGTTGTTATAGATAAAAAGTTTTATGAAACAGGCCCCTGGTACCACTATTAGTAATAATACCTACTCCTGCTACTATTGTTACTACTACTACCATTTCTACTACACCTACTACTAAACCTCATCTTCCTTCTCCTCTTACCATTACTACTTCTACTACTGATACAATTATTACTTCAAGTACTACTAAAACCACTACTACCTACTACATGAAATGATTGTCAGGAGTAATTTAAGAATGACAACAAATGCAACGACATAAATTATACTAATACTTAATAGCGGTATATGCAAAGTATGGTTAGAGTAGTCGGTTAAGTGGGACTAGAAATTTGATTGAGTTTAACTGAAATGAAAGTATTCCTACCTTCCTTCTTCATCGGGTATGATGAAACCATCATCTGATGGTACCCCGGATTCTCCAGCCCAAATGAAAGCATCTGAAAAGGGAAAGAATAAAAAAAAACGATTACCAAGAAATCATGGAAGTAGTGTAGAAACTAAGAAAACATCGATGAATATAAGAATAAAAAGTAAATATGTAAATAAAAACACAACGATAGTTAAAAAGAAATCAGATATAAATGAATAAACTTAAGGTGGATAGATAGATACACAAGTAGATCTGCATATTGAATGGATATTGGAATAACTTGGATGACTGTACCTATTCAAACTTCCAGGTATTTGAAGAAAAAAAAATGAAAATACTCGTTAAAACTACCGGCTATTACAAATGTTTGGATTTATAATATCCGAATGTTTAAATGAAAAATATTGATGTTTATACCAATCCAAGTTTCCAGATGTATTGAAAATATTTGGAAACACCCATTCAAATATTTCGGATGTAGTGTATGTCTGAAGAGCCTTTTGAAATCAATTTTCGTGCACTGCAATTATTCAATGACGGTCGAGATGGAAAAACCTGATTTGATTTTCGATATTACACCAATAAAATGACTGGTCTATTATTTTTTAGTTTATTTCAAAGATTGAGATCTAGTAATGATAGAAAAAAAGGTAAGTAGGCCCGACATCATGTGCTTCACCACTCAGGTCACTATGTGCAAATGAGAATTGTGTTTTTATTGAAGATGATTTCCAGCAAGTTTTTGTGAGTTTTTATCTTATTTTACTAGTTCAAACAATCAATCTACTGCAGGATAAATAATCCACAATGATTTATAGCCATGTTCTCTCGACGGACGATGCCAATACTAGAGCTCAAGAGTAGCCTTAACGTGTAGTAATATATATATATATATATATATATATGTATTTAACGAAGTATATATTAGGATATACGATGTTTGCTACACCTAAAACAAATACAAATATATTTATGAATTATGAATTATATTTTAGACAGAAGTTTACAATCATTATTCATACATGGAGTTATGTTTGTTTTAGGTTTGACAAACACTTCTAATACTATCTCCGCTCTGATTTGATCACATTGCAATAAGCACGAGGTCCTATATATGGCCAATATTTCAAGTGGCAACATGTTTACTTGACCTCAAGCACCATGCATCTAGTTTGTCTTTCAATGTAGAGGTCATCAGTACCAAGTACCAAATGGTACAGAACATGACGCAAGAACAACGAGTATTTATTCAATCATTAATTATGCTAGCTCGCATATCAGAAAATAATTCTTTTCACTGGCCGTCATTAAATTCACAAGGACAAGTGATGTGAAAAAAATGGGTCAGCTTTAGCACCCTCTCCTCCAAAATGTGTATACACTTTTACCCGTTTCCACTGTCTTTCAACCTCCTTCACTATCTCTTTATGCATATGGCTCAAAGAATATGCCTAATTTTTAAATTTGTTTTTTAAATTTATTAACTAATTAATTTATTTATTAATTCATTTTTTAAAAGTTTATTTATTTATTTATTTATTTATTTATTTTTTATTTAAAAAAAAAAAATCATATTTATATATATTTGTTGTTGTTGTTGTTGCTGTATTTTTTGTATTATTATTATTATTATTATTATTATTATTATTATTATTATTATTATTATCATTATTATTATTATTATTATTATTATTATTTTTTTTTATTTTTTATTTATTTTTTTTTTTTTTTTTGGGGGGGGGGGGGGGGGGCGAAAATTTCGCATCGACTCAGCCAACCGCTGAATAAGCGGGGGGGGGGGGGGGGGGGGGGGGGTAAGAGGACACTTTTTTTTTTTTTGGTCTCGAAATTTGTAAATTTGACATTTTGCTCCGTTGGGGGGGGGGGGGGGGTTAAGGTCACCTTTTTTAGGTCAGCCATGGGAATAATTTATTTATTTATTTATTTTTATTATTAAAAAAAACAAAACAAAACAAAACAAAACGAAACAAAGGGGAGGGGTTTAGGGGGGTTTATACACATAAAAATACCAAAGGGGGGGGGGGTTAACCCCCCAAACACCCCTCTGCGTTCGCGCCTGGTCATGAGTCATATGGAGAATGTGTGAACAACGAGCTGTTATTTTATGTTACCACCAGATGAATAATGATTCACGATTTACATCCGGAACGAAATCCCACCAATGGATTTGTTATTGTCATCTCACCGTAATGACTATTTCCCATAACTCCTTGCCATTAGAAATATGAATCAATTTGAAACAAGGTTGAATTCCCCTTTCAAAGCCGTACCATGTAATCGAGGAAAAAAACAAACATAAATCAATAATACCGGCCCGTAGGCATAAACCATTTACTCAATAACCTCAAAACACCCATTATTTCACGGTGATGGCTGTACGTGGTCTGACGGTCGACCATACATTTTATTAATACCCCATTGTGGTTACGTGGTGTGACTGAAATGCTTACATGAGAATTGTTCGAGCGCTTTAAGCATCTTTGCTATGAAATCTAATGCCCCAGTGGACCTCTACAGAACTTCCTTGTCAGCATTTTCATCGGTAAAAAATCTACAACGTGTGACATATATTGCAGAAATGTTGTAAAGTGATAGTGACACATAATTATATAAAACTGTTAGAAAATGTTCTCGCCAAATTTTTATCCAACTAAAAGAAGAATATAATACATTCCTTTATTAATACACTGTTGGTCATAAAGGTGGAATAATTTGTTTTAACCTCAATTTATGGAATGATTTTGAAAACGATTTATTCCTAATAGATATAAATAAAAGTAGGCTGTTCTCTATGTGACCATGCCTTGAACCATAATGCATGACTGTACAGAGGAATTTTGCCTGTTGGGGACCGGGGGAAAATGCAATGAATTATTGAAAATGTATTGCATTTTCTTTGTTTTTTGTTATTTGTGGGGGCTGCCCCCTACCTTAGCCCCGGCTGCGTACAGTCATGATTTAGTGGCAAAGCAATGGCTTTGTAACTTCGAGGCCCCAGGATCAAAACCGTGTCGATCAGCTATATTAGTTCCTTTTGTGAGGCATTAATCCTCATTACTGTCAGTTATGACTTAAGGACGTAGGTCCCCTATAGTTGATAATCATAGTAGCATACACATGATTTAGCAGTCACGCAAAACAAACACTCACCAACTATTATTCAATAAAACCTGAGGATGTATATTAGTATTTATATCTATTAGGAATAAAACGTTGTCAAAATCATTCCATAGAGCGGGATAAAACAAATTATTCCACCTTTATGACCAACAGTGTATATTCTTAGTAAAAGTACAGTGCAGATTATTGAACAATTATACGTTGTTGCCCATAAAATTAGAATAAATTTTCTCACCTCTTTTCATTAGATTATCGTGACAATATGATTTATTCTTAATAGATAAAGTTTGTATCTTCTCAGAACATCACACTAGCTAGTCGTATGACTCTTTTGATATGTCAATACAGTTCTGAGAAGATATAAACCTTTACATCAAGAATAAATCCCCAACATATGACACAATCATTGCATGAAAAGAGGTAAGAAAAATTATTCCAATTTAAATGGGCAACAGTGTACGTTTTCATACGACACTCCAATTTTTCAGACATGTTTCATGATATGTTTACATGGGTCATAAAGAGTTTAGTTATGAATAAGTCTTTGTCATTGTTGGACACTGCGTTGTCGCTGACGCATTCATGTGGCGGACAAACGACGCAGTCCTCCATCACGCAAATGACTTTTTCCTGCGTCACGCAAATAACGCCTCGTGTGCAAGCGTGCATGTTCTTACCTGGACCAGCACCGTCATATCTGAAGCCGATGATTCTGAGAGTGGTCTCATCCTCTGCGTACACTGTCCCGGCTATGTCATGTGTTGACTTATCAGTAAAGGTACCAACAAGCTTCCCATGGTACTGGGCTCGACATAGCGACACCACTGGAATTTAAAGGATGAATTGAGAGGATGGGTTAGAAATTGACTGTAACGGTGCGGCCTTGTAAACGACTTTAAACGACTCTAAAAAAAGTAACAATCTTTGAGTGACCGATTTTACCATACTCGTTTTCCCCAATAGACTGTAGTGTTATGAAAACCGTTTGGCAAACGGTTTTCAAAAATTGTAATTCCAATCATAAATATCTTGATAATCAGACAGGCGCTCGGCTTTTAAGTCATGGGGTTTCTGACTGACCTAAAGGTTTATAATTATCATTGCAGCATGAGCTAAATCCAGAGTTTTGTTTAAGAATCTGAGACAACTGAGTTTAATTACCGGATCCCTTTAAGAGACCTGCTGCTATAGTAATACGGCGATAATAACTCATATTTGTACCCTTAACCCTTTCAGTACAGGAATTATGATAGGGTTAAAAATATCACAATAATTTACTTTTCAAGCTATATCGTTCTAACCGAATGTAATTATGTAATAAAAACAATACGCAAAGTTTCACTTTTATTTTCCCTTTCTAAAATGCCTTCATGGCATCAAACACAATCCGGCCATGCAATAAAAATGAATACATTGTGTGCAGAATTGTATGCCTTGAATACTTATAATGCATAGAGTATAATTTCAGTTGAAAGTAGAAGCATAAGTTACACAGAATGGGAAAAGTTTGAGATAAGTCGGACCAATAATAGGAGAATTATGAATTTTGAAATATGAGATTACTAAAGACATGCGATACTCAAATTGACAGTTGGTCCGGGGATTGCGACGTAGACACGGACAACTCTTTCGTTTGTTTTGCACACAAATATCTTTAAGTTCTGTTTTTCTCCCAAATGCCCTCTCCCTTAGGGTACTACTCAAAAATGATTATTGATAGGATATTATAATAGGTCCTCTAAAGAGAAAAGATCATCCCGGGTCATAGATACTTGATAAATTGAAAGTTTAGTCCTTTTCTGCTGGTAAAAATAGAAAACTTGTCTGACACTACGCACAGAGACATACCCTCGTTTAAATCGTTTATAATACATATGAACATGACGGACAAAAAAGAGGACAAAATATACAGTTCCTCAGGTAGATAAAGGAACATCCCTCCACTGCTATTATGTAAAAATGAGTAGAACAGGTGAATATGCATGTGACACCTGTTCTACACATTTTTAGATAAGAGCAGTGAAGTGATGTTCCTTTGTCTACCTGAGGAACTGTATATTTTGTCCTCTTTCTTTGTCCGTAATATTCGTAGTGACATCTCTGTAATATGTTTGTAAAGCGCCTAGAGACATCGATGATGTATTAAACGCGATGTATTAAACGCTATGTATTAAAAAGGCGGACGATTCAGCCAACTTTAAGAGCCCATACCCATCGTGTTTACTACTTTTACAAATTCATAACTTTCTGATTTCTTGTCCGATTTTATTCAAAGTTTCAGCAGTCTGGTTCTCTGATTTGGATTTCCATTTAAAGCTTATCTGCCGTAGTTTACAGGAGGGATTAGACTGCCCTGCAAGGTCACTGGACAGGTGGTTATCTCATCAACTCAGTTCTCAGTTAACATAAGAAAAAGAGGATCATGGGGGACCAATGGTCACCGATTAAGCATTGTTTGTTATATAGAGGGCGCAAGTAGCTACAAGTAGTGCAGTGGGCCTTTAAGGAAAAATCTCGTTTATTTGGAGTATGCTTAGGTGATAATACACAGGGCACTGTCAACCGGCTTATGCCGAAAGGGTGGGCAGCGTCGCGTCGCGGCGAGTTGATTTGAACGCGACCATTCGTCCAAAGCCCCCCCCCCCCCCCAGTTTGGCCGAAAGGGTGCGTTGGGAGTGTCGCGTCGCGTCGCGTTAACTTAGACGCTACCATTCGTCCAAAGCCCCCCCCCCCCCGGTATGGCCGAAAGGGTGTGTTAAAAATATAAAAAATATGGAAAAGCAGAACTATCCGTTTGTCGTACTTTTAGGTTACTATTCTTTCTTTCTTTCTATATTAATTTGCCACTTTCCAACAAGCGCTTAAAAAAGGATAACAAATTAAATATTGAGGACAAATCTCGAAAAATGATGTCATTTCAGCAACATTTGTAAATCACCGGTATCAAATTAGAAATAAACCACGTTTGAATTATATTTAGGGGGCATCTGTCACCCCCCCCCCTCCGACAGTACGCCAGTGCCCCCCCCGATCTACACCTTGTTCGCAGGAAAAATCTAAAATGATCTCCCATACCTTTCTTTTTTTCTTTCCCTTTCTCTCCTCTTTTTAGTCCTTGCTTTTCCCTTCCTTCTCTCTGTTTTAGGTTTGCTGGGGGAGGCAAGGGCCTTTCGCCCCCCCCCCCCATCCACACGTTGTTGCCGGGATTAATCGGAACTGTTTTGCCCTTCTTTTCTTCTTCCTCTTTTTTGTTCCTTTTTAGCTCTTCTCTTTCCCTTTCCCTTGGGGGGGGGGGGGGGGGGGGCAGGGGCCTTTTTGCCCCCCCCCCCCCCCCAGCTACAACTTGGCAGGACAATTGCAACTGATATCCCCCTTTGTTTCTTTTCTTCTTCCTATTTTTTCCTACCCTTTCTCTCCTCTTTTCTTTTTTCCTTTCCCTTCCCTTCCTTCAGACTTTGTGTCAATATAAGTATGTAGGGCAATATAGTTAGGCCTGTTATTATGTACAGAACTGAAGTGTAATCGTAAAGCAATAGTAGTAGTAGTTGTAGACTTGTAGTATTCGTTGTCGTAGTAGTCGTTGTTGTAGTAGTATTTGTAAATAGATTTTACACCCACTTTGAACAGCACATTTGCCATACCCCAAAAAACTATAGCAGGTTGTAAACTACATATCGTTTAGTTTACGACAAGCAGAGAATAAGAATGTACTCTCATACGCATATGATACCATTTTGTGAGGGGAATATTGACTTAAACACAATCCAATCCAATCCAATCCAAAAGATATTTGATATACATACATACATACATGTATATACCCGCATCATCATCCAGACAGATACATGCGAATGCGGGTATAAATGCAGAAGCAAGTTAACTGCGATAAGGTATATTCCTATTGAATTGAAGTCAATTAAGGTGAAAACCACCATGGTTGCTAAGCAACTGACGCGATATGGAAGCACACATTCGTGTATAAAATGGCGAATACGGTTCGGGCCATTAAATTAATCGTAGTATAGTATGCATATATTATGCTTAGACAAAGACCCTTTCACACATGAATAACAAAAAATATATAATTATAATGTTCATCATCATCATCATCATCATCATCATCATCATCGTCGATCGTTGTTAATGTTGTTGTTGTTGTTGTTGTTGTTGATCTTATTATCATCCAACCAATCAACCACAAGTCAAATGTGAGTATTGTTCTTTACTTCTCTAGCGCCCCTTGAATTGAATGGCATTGAAAGTTATCATTCTTACCATCATTAATACCCGGTTCATTTGGACTCATGATAGAACATTTCGCGTATACACAGTCATGTGTTAATTTTGATGGCAGCTGTAATTCTTCTCCCAGAAAGTTTAATATGAGACGTATGTTCTTACCAATAACATTGCACTTTTGTAAGCTTTGATTAAATCAATTTATCATGTTGAATTTGTGAAATTCTAAAGAGTAATCAATAAACCACAAATATATTTTTGAAAATGTGATATATCTTTCTGTCATCGTTCTTATATTCAATTAAATTGAAAATGATCCATTACGGAGTCATCAAATATAATTTATATCGAATACAGTGCCGCTAATACCGTCATATATGCATGTATAAATCATATCATACAGAAAGAAGATGGTAATGCAATATTGCCAATCATTGATGTCCGAATTTTCGGGACGCAAACTAATCATTATTATGAACTCATTGATAAAACATTGCAATCTTCTTTATATTTGCCCATAAAAGTCTATAATATTCGTATGAAAGTCTGAACTGGTAGCCTGTATTCCAATACACAGTCTCATAACTGACGGATTTAGGGGGAGGGACATGGGCCGTACTATTGCCCCTCCCCCTGTGAAATACCAGTGACGTACTTGTAGTACACAACCACTTTCTTAATGGTACACATTTGTATTTCTTTTTCTTGCGTTGTCAACTAAGTTTGAGATTAAAATGTCACCGAAAAATCATTACAAGCACTTTTTCTTCCTTTCTCTATTTTCCTCTTTTGTATAAGGCTTGACAGTTACTTTTTGAATATTATGTAAGTCGCCACCGTTGGCTTTGTCCCTGCATGGCTTTTACATGTAGATAATTAGTTTGAACCGACAAGCTACTCATGAGGGACCTTAATTCCGGCAAGCCTTGCTTTCAACCAAGGTCACCTCATCTTCAACTTGTTATATTCATGTCATATTTGTAATGTGTGCTATGAAAGAAAGATAAATAAAACTTGAACTGAACTTGAGAGTAATCATGCGAGTTGCAGATAAGAATATTCAAGTGTAAATTGCTATGCAAAGAAATTAGACAAATCAATATACAAAATGTTAAGAATATTGGCATATATACCGTTATAAAGCACCAACAAAATGACGACCAATCGCCGGTTTGCCAGATCCATCGTTGTCTATTTCAGTATGATCATCAGCTGCTAAATTCGAAAAAGGAAATATAATGGCCGTTTCGTTGATCAAAACAGTACTGACAAAATGTGTAGAACCACAGATCTAATTATCTCGACCACTTCCTTCTCTTTTCCTTGCACGTGAGTTTTATACAGGAGTTTAATTGTGCATATCGATAGTTATAACATGCGTGGTGTAGTCTGATCGATAGCAAGAGGAAAAGTGCCCCTTTTTTATTTGAATACGTCATTTCCTTCTGTTTTTGCAATGTAATCGAGTCTAGTTTCCTCCATGAACAATGGTTTTTTTTTTTACGGCATTGCCTCTTCCTAGAATCAGAGGCGCTATATCCGGGTGAGTCCTTCATTCAATTATTCGGAAACCCGAATCTAGATGTATAAGCTGGTATAAACAAGGCATAAAGGTATAATGTTTTCGTTTATATCGTATAGACAGAGAACAGAATTGTAAGGAATCGTGCATAACGAAGTGATTTTTTTTTTTGGTCCCAAAATTTAAAAATTTGCCGGATCGACATTTCGTTTCGTTGGGGGGGGGGGGGGGGGGGGGGGGGGTATGGTCACCTTTTTAGTTTACAATTAAAAAAAAAAATTAATTAAAAAAATAAAATAATGCTCTATAAAAGTAGGACAAACAAACCCAATCTTTTACTTCAAAAAGTTCGCCCCCAATATCTACAACACTGTAATAATGGGGTGTGTTCGCTATTTATAAGGACCGCTATCCATAACGGGGGACTAAATGAATAGAGGTCTTTTATAAATAGCGGTCCTTATAAATAGCGAACAGACCCCATTATTACAGTGTTGTAGATATTGGGGGTGGACTTTTTGAAGTAAAATATTGGGTTGTTTGTCGTACTTTCATAGAGCATAATTTGACAACTTCTTTTAGTTACCGGAATAAGCAGCATAGAGTCTGACCGATAGAGGGCTTTGAGGGCGGCGTAAACTGTTACTTAGCACTAAGTAACAATTATTCTAGCAATATAAAGGAGAGGCCTTTCTCGTCATCGAAGCCACTATACATTATAGGGACTCATTTCTAAAGATTTTACGGTTGAGAATTTAGAATCCGGAGGAAGAAGTCTAGGGGCACAGGTTTATCCCCATGACAGTTATCCTCCCCCGCCGAGAGAGTCGGGCGGGCGCTCCCGCGCGAATTCGTGGAGGTATGAGGGTGTGGAAGATACTACCCTACCAGGGCCAGCCCGGGCTCTTCCAAACCCGCTCCCGGACAGGGGCGATGCATTCCTCCACGACCGTCTTTGTCTAGAGGGGAGGGGGATTGGGGACGCAACCGAGGGAGGACTTCTTATTAGCCACTCCCCAAATCGATCGGGTTCGACAGCCTGATGACTGATTATTTCTATACCCATACCGTATTGAGAAGTGCATATAGGGTGTTTACTATTTGTCAGTGTAATGGGGATCTACAAAATAATTTATCCTCAGATAAGACAGTATCACTGAATTTTTGTATGGCTAAACCAAACTCAAATGATCTGAATAGGCGAATGAACTTGTAGAAGTAGAACACATTTCGAATGATTAAATATGTTTTTTTTTTGTACACATACCGATGTCTTTTCTCAGTATTAAAGCAACGCGATCACAAAGATTTTACCAAAGGAAATTTTAGTAATATGTATTGCATTGCCTAGAGTATCATGTTCGGATTATTAAGAAGGTCATTGTAATGTTGCACATTTGAATAAGATTACGCACAAGGCTATTAAATCGCCTCTGGTTGATTTTTGAAAGTCTTTGTAATCGTGTTGTTTTAACTGTTTTGATTCATTTTAACTTTCACATTCGATCACTCCTAAATTAGTTATTTTCAATATGGCTCTCCATCGGCATCAGACAAGAAATGTTGGAACACACTGAATACATTTTTATTTCACTTTATTTAAAATGCAATGACTTTATTTCTAAGTTTTACAACCTCCTAAAACAGTCTTCCAAAAAAACGCCACACTACATCACATTCACAAATCCAAAAAAATGTTGTGTCATTTATCAATCAAATAGACGATGGTCACAGTTAACCCATGTTTTCTCCATAATGAACCTTCAAAGAATATGTTTCATGTTCATTGCACATTCTGATGGTATTCACACACATGTCACATTCATTTGCTGGGCAGCATCAAGTGAAATAAGTTATTTTGCGTCCATGATAAACAGACTCACGGTCCGGGTGCACGCCCCTAAAAAATATATAAATAATGAACAGATAAACAAAATAAATGAATAAATAATATATTAATCATAAGTACGGCATTGGCATGAATTAAAGCCTCGCGTAGTGATATACCTAATGATTTTATTTATTCAGCATTTCAGATCCAAACGTTTACCAAGCAGCAAGTATATTGGCCTCTGCCATTCCGACTGTTGCTCAGTCAAAATGACTAAATACAGCGAAAACATAATCATTTTTGATGGAAATTACATTGAATTATTCATGGAGAACCAGCTCTTCAACACAATTATGTTTTCTTTTAGCATGTTTATGGCATCGATGTTTTCATGATTTTTAACGCTACTATTCCTATTATACTTCAACTGACAATGATTCTCATTGTAATGCTTATCATTCATTTTTGCAATGAATATCCAAAAGCAGTCCCGTTAAGTCTTGTTTTCTTTCATCCCATTTTTTTCTTTTTTCCTCACTCTTCTTCATCTTCGTCGTCGTGATCATTTTATGATTCTGTTGTTCATCCTTCTTTTAACAGGCAAATAAGCTCACATTTTTCTTTATGAGGGAAGCTAATGCCTCTTCAAGTCTCCATTTCTTTATTTTGCGAGCGACCAAACAACAAAAAGTCACTTATTTATCATAATACAAACAAACATCCGTACTTTAAACATCCTCGTTGGGACGGGGGTTAGGTGTTATTGCAGCCCTACCCCAACCTCGTACACCTACATGTATTATTATTATTTTTTCGATGTCTCTTTCGTCGTCTTTTGCTTCTTTAAAATAGTGTTTATTTTTCATGTTCATCGTTATGATATTCTCCTCCCCACCATTTTTCCATCATTGATTATTGTTAAAGTTCAGTATTCCTGATCCAAGGAACTTACTGTCAGTAAGTCAGTGATAAATAATATTGCGTAGATGCACATTTTTTAATTTACGTCTATTCGGTGAGCGATCATCATGTCTCTTCTCTAGACGTAGTTGGAGTATTTTGGAGCGCTGTATAAGATGACGATGACTGCCTATCCCCTACGTTCAGCATCGTGTATCTTGGATTATTTTCTCCCTCTGGTAGACTCACTTCATAAAAACCATCTATAGGCTCCTGAGATACCTGGGGTTGAATGTTCTTGTAACGAAATGCCCGCGATTTAAAAATGGGAAAGTTTTGGTAGATGTGCTCCTCTGGCGGAACTATCGCTGAGGGCGCTAAAGAGGCTTGTACTTGTTGGTTTGCCCCGTCCGTTTTCGGAATTACTTCGTACTGAAAAGTGCCCGCCTCGCAGGCTTCTGGCCTCTCCTCTGCTGTTAAAGAAATCAAGAAAAAACATCATAATAAGGAAAAATTAATACAAATCGGATTTCCTTATTTGTATTCATTCTACCTGCATGGGATGCTAAGACAAAATAAAGTGTGTAAAATATTCTATTCAATCGAAGGAAAATATAATTGCCAGTACTGTATAGAACTTTAGCGAACTGGATTTAATTTGAACCCGAGCTCTTCCGGTTCCGGACTATGTCAAGTCGTTGCACTTTTTTTAGTCATGCCAAAACATGTCCGAAAATCATTTGCTTCATAGAGTCAAGCGCACACATTCCGCACCGTTGCATGATAGTTGTTCATGATTATATAGGTACTTCTTCGAGAGCGGGTGATATTCATGACCATTACCGAAAAAACTCTACTGGCCCACCTGCCACGTACACCCCCCCCCCCTAAAAAAAAAAGATATGCACATTTGTCACATACCCTTATTAAGCTGTATCAGTGCTGTATGATTCCTCATCAATCTACAAGTGAAGAGAGAAACAGCGCATGGTGAACATTCTGCATAAATTGTGATTAACAAACAAACAAACGAACAACAACAACAACAAAACAAAATGGGGGGGGGGGGGGGAACAACATGGCGTCATGCGGCGTTCATATTCTGCTAGTTGAACAAGAAGAAAAATGGCAACAATAATGCACTTAACGGAAATGTCTAAAATATGCGCTGTATTGTAAAACACCCTATACGATATTGTTCCACATAACCTAGCAAATTAAATAACTTGAGACTTGATAAAATATTAATTCTGTAACCGAAAGCCATAGGTCTCTTTTAAAAATAAATGTTACCATATGCTGGTCTTATCAGTTCATGCTCAAAATCGGGTCAACAAAGGAAGCTAGACTGAGGTCTATACGATTTCCTATCCTAGACCCAGGGGCGAGCTAACTGAATTAGTAAAATACAGACCTCAGTGTTTAATGACTTTTCATACATGTTTTGACAGCGAGCGTGTTTATTTGGTTGAAATAATAAATGTATAGCCACATGGAAGTTACTAGGAGGGACTAGATGCACTGTGAGTCACAATGAAAATGTTAGCAGGAAACCTGCGTAGAACTCGAACCTGGGAGCTAGCTATAGAGCATCCATTATTCAATGCTTGTGTTTTCTAAATGCCCAGGCATGATTCCCCAGACGATTTATTGAAGATGAACGGTTCTCACATGTTGATGACACGGGCCAAGTCAAATACTCTGTTTTTCAATTGAAGGTCTTTCTTATTCTTTCTTGTGTACTTTTGTGAATAACATAAGACATAGGAGTTGATATTGAATGTAAAGAGGGTCACAAGCACATATACTATCTAATCAAATCAAACATGCGCATTCGATTATGAATCTCATAATTACCAGAATGGCAAAAAAAATGTATGCTTCATTTTTTACAGGTGGTAAAAAAGAAATCATGGATAGGCAAGAGTAAGAGTTTAAGCCACTTATTCTTTTCGTATTAGTCTTTAGAACTTGTCTACTCAAATTGCTCCCATGTTTTGAAATTGCTTTGAGATGGCGCTATACACCCTGATTGTGTTGGCACAAAAAAAAAACCGTGATATTCACAGGACTCGTCAACATTATTTTTACCGGTCATTTAGAAAAGGTCATGAAAATGTATGATAACATTTTCCTTCAACGACAGTAGAAATACTAATATTAACACTAACAGTAATAATAATGATAATGATAACGATGATGATGATAACAATAATAGTGGGTTCTTGTACAGCGCCCATGTCTGTCAGACTTCACACTTCTGGTGCTTCAAAATGATTACCCTGGATTTAGCGTGGCTGCCATTATGGCCCTCTCCATCATTTCCAGGAATTAATTCATGTCAGGCACCCCTTTATCTCACCTGTGTCGAGTGTGACAAATATAGATTAATGTTTTGCCAAAGGACACTATTGCATCCGCGGGCCTCGATCCGCAAACCATTTGATTTAGAGTCCAATGACGTATCCATTACACCACGGCACCTCCCCAAATTCATTTGTTTTATTTACAATACATTAATTCAACACACGATTCAAGGGGGAAATATTCACAAACATGAAACCAAGATGCAGCCCTTATCTCTATTTAAAGTGTTTTTTATTTTTTATTCGGCTATAGACTACGATACAGACATCTCACAAGACCGACGCGACGGTCCATAGTACAGAAAGCTCACGAAAACAAAAACGTTATGAAAGGTAATCCGAAGATTCATGTGACCGACAGTCCACAAGACTGACAGATCGGACTCCTTGGCCTTCTGACATCCTTTCTCAGGGTTCATGAGACTGTCGGTCTACTTAGAAGTGACCCAAAAGATTCAGGGATTGGGTACAACAGTTAAATCTAGTTTCCCCTACTTTCCCTTCACATTGATGAGTGTCATCACCTTTTCTTGTAAATTGACCAGCAGACCAGTATGACGACGGTGACGATCCCGAGCATACCCACGATGACTGACATCTCGACTGGGTGAGAGGTTGCCCAAGCATCAGAACGAGACTTCTTGATGACGTAGACGTCTCCTACGTGTGCTGAGTCTCCTCGACCCGGTAACCTCGGCTCACGGTAGATTGGTTTGGTTCCTGATGAAGTACCAGCCTGCTGGTCCTTACCAGATGATCCTATAATTATACAGGTAAAGAGTCAAAACAAAACAATATTCAGTTAATGAAGTATTTACTCTGTTTATGGATTCTACGGACCTGGTGGAACTATCAGCAAGATAACTACACATCTCAGGCGCGGATCCAGGATTTCTTAGGGGAGGGGGCCCAACTTTTTTTTTTGCTCCCGAAAATTTGAAAATCGCGCCGGCCGAAAAGTCGCTCAGTGGGGGGGGGGGGGGGGGGGGGGGGGGGGGGGGGGGGGGGGGGGGGGGGGTAGTGAGCACAATTTTTTTTTTTGGTCCTCGAAATTTTTAACATTTGCACCCCCCCCCCCCCCTTGAGCGCCAGGGGGGGGGCCAACCCCAAAAAAAGGTAAAAATCGCGTGATTTTGCATGATTTTTTTCTCAAGGGGGGGGGGGGGCTCTGGATCTGCCACTGACACATCTAGACCAGTGATTGTGCTAAATCATTAAACGCCTCATTGGCCCAGGTGAGACTTCCCAATATTAGAGGTTCCTACAAGTCATGTACAGTGTCAATAATAATAATAATAATAATAATAATAATAATAATAATAATAATAAAAAAAATAGTGGGTTTTTGTATAGCGCTCATGTCTGTCAGACTTAACACTCCTTGCCCTCCAGTACCATGCGACAATAATATATTGAAATATCTTATGGATTCTACGGACTTGGTGGAACCATAAGCAAGATGACTAGACATGAGGATCATGCTAGATCCTTAACACCGCCTCGGGCGTTGATCCTGAAAGTACAGTACCAAACTGAAACCACGTTCACTAATTTTGCCTTAATCGAATTGATCGATTTGAGTGATGTCCCCTCTTTCGTCTCCTCCTTCACCACTTCCTCCTCTTTTTTAAATGAATTCTTCTTCTCTCATTTATTACTTTATGATCTACTCCTCCTCTCTTATTATTATTTCAGCATGTCTCTTTTTTCTCCCTTTCTTTCTTTCTTTCTCAGGTTTGATCCTCTTCTTCCTTCTCCTCCTGCTCCGCCTACCCTTCTCGACTATCTCCTTTAGCCATTTCATCAGTTTCGTCATTCCCCTCCTTCCTCGAGGTATGATAATCAGATAATCTTGTTTAAAATTGCTTCAAGAAAAATTTAGTGAAAATACGGAATTAGCTTAGAGTATAGAATGGTGCAGGTTAATGTTTATAGGAGATTGTAAAGTGTGCAGGAGATCATTGCCCCAAACACCCTTTCTTTGCGCTTTTGTGAATACATTCTAACATTATGAATATTCGTTGGCATGTACACAATCTGCGTTCTCGCTTTTGTCGGTGTATTATGAATGAACAACCTTTCTCCAACATAGAAAAAAGCTGGCTTCGCCTGCAGGGTGACGGAGGAAACAACATGTTCATGAGGGTGTTTTCTCTGACATTGCTGAAGTTCACACGCAGTCATTCTACGAGTGGGCGCGCATACAATATTGGAACTCTGCCGCTGAATGGGTTTTAAGTGACACTTTTGCTACGGGTCCAATCCACAAAACATAGATTTTAAAGGTCGAGCAATGTCTTGGCAGGCTTACAGTGATTGTTGAAAAACTGTAACTTAATGTAATGTGATGAGCATCCACTTGGGAGTTGTAGGGTTTGGGATAGAGTTTGCCATTCATGGGGTGTTGAGATACACACGTTCAAGTAATTCAATAAGGGCGTCTTGGTTGACGTCTTGAAGATAAGTTGATGTCAGTGAAATTCCATGGCATGAAGACAATGATCACTGACAACAATACACAATGAGAGAAGGAAACAACAATAGGTTAGAGGAGGTAAAATGCCAATCTGAAAGAGCAAGATCTTACATTCACTGGATATCGCTGATCATATTCCACATACTAAGAATCTTGCTCTTCTATTGGTCAAAAGTAAACCACGTGATGAAAGATAGTTCGCCCATCATTGATGGGAGAAGAAAAGTTCGTTACACTGTGTAGATAGTACTACTATCTTCAGTTAAAGTGCGTTGCACGGTGTAGATAGCAGTACTATCTGATGTTTTCGGAAACGTGACCCCCCCCCCCCTCCCCCTCCTCTCCGGCCACTTCGCCTTAATCGCAAAGATCATAACAATCTACAAATAAGTGTCTAGATATTCACATCACCAGATTCTTTCAAAATCATGTTCCTTACCATGTTTCTTACCTTGTTCTACAGTGTGTGTTGAGGTTCCTGTATCACCTTGATGAGCCCCTGAAGACCTTGGTTCACCCTGTGGTCTTCCAGGCAGGAATGGGACCAGGGTTGCCTCAGCTCGACCATCTAACAGTTGAAGGAAGATAATAATGATAAATACAATGTATAACAAATAATACTTGTTGTTTATCCAAGGAGCCTCCTCAGCATCAATGACTTGTTCTGAGGGCCGTGTGATTATTATTACGCCATAAATTGCTTAATACGCAATTACACTTTGGTGGCAAATACGGACTAATGTCACACCAAAGGACGTTAGTGAAGAGATGAGATTCGAATCCTCAACTCTTGGATTAAGGGTCAACTGAATGAACCAACAATACTACGACCTGTTTATATTTAGTGAATACAATATACAAGGTGCATACTGAATGATTGATTATACTGCATTTGAAACAAAAAACGTACCAGAGCTACGGGGAGCAAGGGCTCGTGCCCCAAAATGAATGGTGAAAAAAAAAGAGTAAAGAGCAAAATTGACAAGGAAAGGTGGACGCAAAAAGAAAAAAAAATCAAAGGACCCCTGCCATAGCCTCTCCTTATCGATTGTCCTCTCTATTCACATCTCATCAACCTAGTGAAACCGGTGCTCCTATCGTATACCCCATGATGTCAGTGCCCTCTCTGGACCGACGCTACGCCTCAATTAAAAGTGTAAGAGAATATATCATAATTAGGCGTGAATATTTCATAGAAAATTATTTTATCAACAGGAATAAGAAAGAGATGCGTGGGAAAAGTAGGCCATTTAAATTTTCATTTGTACAGCGGAATCTTTTGTATTCTTACTATTCTCTTCTAAAATCCATTCATCTGTTAGCAATTTTTAACAATCCAATATCCAATGCCCTAGTCGATGAGTAACCTCCGGTTATTCCACACACCCTTACAATCATAATTTTCTCACATTACCAGGTGCTCACTTTTCAACTTCATGAACGAGATCTTGGGTGGGGGAGGGGCACGCGGATTAAACCTTCAAACATGTTCAGCCTTTGGACCAGAGAAAATGTACTTTATTATTTAATTTCAGTGTTTATACATTTCCAATTTCCCTTATTTCTTTTGAAAATATAAATGTATTCAGTGGCGGATCCAGGGGGGGGGGGGGGGCAAAGGGCCCCAAAAAATTATTAAAAATTTTATTAAAAAAAAAAAAAAAAAAAAAAAATGGTAATGGCCGACGTAAAAAGGTGACCTTACCCCCCCCCCCCCCCCCCCGCTTATTCAGCGGCTGGCTGAGTCGTTGCGATCTTTTTGGGGACTAAAAAATGTGCCCCCCGTGTGCCCCCCCCCCCCCCGGCAAGAAATTCCTGGATCCGCGCCTGGTATTGATACAATTTCGTCATGTTCGAGTCCTCTGTACCGGTATATCAGTGACTAACTCAAAGCTGATGACCTTCACAATGCATTTCTATCCCTAAATAATGCCCCAACTCTAATTCTGCGTTGTGACTCATTTAGGAACAGAAAAATCGAAGACAAAAAGAACAACAAAGAAGCCCAATCATAGAGCAGGAAATAACAGATGACAGATGTACCAGTCTACCTGCTTAATTCGAGGAAGCTATATTTATTTCTTATCAATCTGTACGCACTTTGCATTGTTCGAGCACTTTAAAGATTATAGTCTACGACACTAAACTAAACATATGAGACAGGTAAATTTGTCTGAAGAGGTTTATGACATCATTCTATTTCGGGAGTTCATGACTGATATTGTCGAATGTCCGTATCGTAGGCCGTCCTTTTCACAATATTCCATGACACTTTGATCTTTTAGGCTGCTGCAGGAAAATTAATTTAGTTGGTTTATTTGGAAGATACTGATCTGCCTGAGAGGGGTATGCAAGCAACATATCAGAGGCTTGAGTGCGCGAACTTCGATGATGTAAAACAGCACACTAACTCAACTAATGCTACTGTTATGTTTGCTCTATATATGACCCATTGGTCCTATGTTCAATTGGTGCATCCGTCATCTCCAATCGATGGATCAGTACTATCCAATAAGGAAGTTTACAGATACAATCTGCGCATGGGCAGATAAAGGTCATTTGTACCAAAAAGGTAAAACCCACAGAGATGAATAATAGATATGCGCTCATGAAAGTTAGGTAACATTATTCATTTATGCACCAACGGTACATTCTATGATACGCAGGTGGAAGTATTCTGTTCAAGAGGTCAAACAAAAGGTATTCATGAATCACATCTAGGACTTTGGCAGTTATTATTCTAAGATGCTCAAAGTGGAACTTCTCCATGTGTAAAAGATCTGTGGATATTTGGGGTCATTTGTACCATGTGCTATCTGTAAACTCCCTTATTCGTCCTGCGACCCACTGCCCAGTACGTCACATCTGACCGTCAAGGCTTCAATCAACTGTCCTATGTCCCAGTTGTCCTACATGGTCCGACTGTTTTACCTCTCACTGACCATGTGTCCCACGTTACTAGGTCCGAAGGTACTCAGTCTTACTCTAATATGTATAAGAAGACTAAAAGGGGCACAGCATCGGTGTGATAGGAACTGTGGAAGAGGTGAATGTAGGCCCCCATATCAACCCCATCTCAGCTTGTCAGTATGACCCCGTGTACCTACCTGGTATGGAAGCAGGTACGCAGTGCCCTTCCTGAGGTCTCCAGCCTGGACAACATCCCAAGTCTATCTTGTACATCGTCCGTAGCGCGTTGCGATAAGCAGTACGATAAACCATTCTAACCGTAAAAGAAAAACATTATTTTGTGAATCATCTTTTACAACAAAATGACATTCATATACTTATTCTCATTACAAACAGAGTGAGGTATGAATTAATAAAATTAATATTGGTATCAAGTTTGGATGCATATCTAACAACAGAATTAACAGCTCAAATCTCGTCCCTCCACTGTCCCAGTAATAAACATTCAGATCAACTTTTCCGTCTATTATTCTGTCCATTATACCATGATTAGTTACGATTATTCCGTATTGGCATCTAGTGTTACATTCACAAGAATGTCTAGATCAATGTTGTACGAAAACCTATTACAAATACAGAAATCGCCTGCAAAGCCATTTGTACAAGAGCTCAGTTTTCTTCAAGCAAAGTCACCGTCAAAATAACGTGGGACGACCTAGAATTTGTTAAACAAATTATTCAAGAGTAAACTTTACTCTTGAATAATGTGGACAACTCTCCACTTTCCCGTTTCTAGCCTTTTAATTAGTGAACGTGCCCACATATATCATTTAAATATACGATGTTGGATGATATAATTGACATTATTCGAGTCAATTAGTGAGGAACAGAAGATAATAAATTCATCCCATTAATTCTTGACGCCTGGCAAGATTTCACATCTCTTAAGGCTATTGCCATGGTTCTCAACTATGTTTTGATACTTCGTTTCTCTCCTCTGTCAAATCAGCGTTTCTACTCGAACCGATTCAAAGTCACACCTTCTATCATTTCATATACGACAGCTCTTCATTAAAATCAACGGCCAACCATTATTGTAGGTAATCGATTCGATGTTTGGCATCTGGTTTCCATAGTAACGCTTACCTGTATGAAGAACATTTCGATGAGCAGAACCAGTCACAGCAAGTCGCTGTCCGTTTCGTCTTCGATTCCGCAAACGTCTCACGTACGGTAATCAGAGCACTAAAACAAACAAACAAAACATTATTGAAATCTGCTTTACAGCATCTGTATAGATAATCTTTATAGAAAGAACGTCTATGTTTATATATCATCATTTTTTTCCCTCCTTTGAATAATGTTTCTCACTGAAACATGTACTAAACTAACTTATGGCATAAAGACCACTTTTATTGTTTGATTGTCTGTTTGATTTTGTTATTCATTTTCAACATAATAAAAAAAAAAGTTATATACAACTAAATACATAATATATATCATTAACAAAAGTCAAAATACATAAATCAATCAAATAATTATACTTTAAAAAACCGCACATGGTTGACAAATCATTTCAAACTTGAAAAATGGAGGAGACTTCGTTGTCTCCCTGAGCAGTCTTTATATACAGGTTGCATGAAGCTATACACAACATATATCATTGGACGGCCTTGCTAACGTGTAGCTGTCTTTGAGCGTGGAGATGACCATGACCTATAAGCCAGGCATCAAGGAAAACGAAACATTCTTCAAAGCATGCGCATCCAGAAACCTTATTAAACGATTAACCTGCTTTAATCTTTCTGCTTCCATTCGTACATTATACTTTACCGGTAATTAGGGGGCAACTGAAAGCTAATAGTGCATGTCGTATATTTATACGTTGGTATGACTGGGAAGCTAATTTAACCAATATACAGACATCGAGTTGGACCATCCATATTATTTATTACTAAAACGTGTAATTACTTGTACATGCATAAGTATCATTTTAATGATTTTTATGATATATAATCTAAAAAATTGTTTTCATCATTCATGGCACTCGGCCTCATCATGCGACCGAAACATACTATGAATTGAACGGTCATGATGTACTAAGTAATAGGCAAAATATACCAGACGGTTTAGATGCAGTAGTTACCATTGTGCCATGATTGCATTAGACCATTTTCAATGGATGAGTGAAATTTACATCATATAGGTTTATGTGATTAAAATAATTCTTTTATAATGGATCATACAAGTTTAACGGTTCAACATATTATTTACTGTATAGATATTTGAGGTATTGTATTTTACATCAAGCATAGTTAGAACGTTATACGGAAACCTATACGTATTTATCAAATAATATGAAACTTCTGGAATTCCGTTACCCTACCCAAATACTTACCTCTCTCCTTATCTTTGTACAACAGCTGTAAACCGACTTCCAATTGTGATTCTATTTTTATTTCTCTTTCGGGAAACTATATCTAGCCTTCAACAGGGTAAGATATCCATTTCATAGAGCAAAACAATTGTATCTACGCGGCCTTAATTATCCCTTCCATGTTATATTTCAGACAAAAATATGTCATGTGTTTATACTGATTCGTTTAAACAGCACCCTGATCTGATATGCACAACCGACCTTACAAGTGGCCTTATCTACTGAGTTATTGTAGTTCTGTACACTTCCATTTTTCATGATAGTAAAATTGGAAAGTAAAACAAAATCTGTATTCACCTGATGGTATTCCAGCAGCGTCCGGGCCCATGCGATAGCGCATGTGACGTCATCAATCTCGACATGACGAGCATAAAACACCAACATGCGAGTAGATGGAACTCCATGATGTCTTTTTTTATTTCTACGACTCCCTCCGTTTTAAGGTGTCTCAGGGATCCATTTTAAAGCTCCTGTCATGAAACCAAGTGAAAATATGAAACATTTATTAAAATCATCAGCGAAATAAAAATTGTTCATTTACATCTGATGCCCGTTGCACACGAGGTGTCATTTCCATTGCGTCATTTCAGTTGCGTCATTACACGCTCTAATCAAGCCCGTGAAGTCAACTAGCCCATGCGCCAGTAAGACAAAGACGGTGTCAGTCGGTGACGCAGTCCTACGTCAGCAAAACGATACAACGTGTGCAACCGGCGTAACTTCATTGATGTAGCTCAGACCAAAGAGATACCTTGCTCAGACATCGGTTGTCCCATTAACATGCACTGAACACGGTACCTCTTCAATCAAGGAGAAAGAAAATGACGGCCAAGAATTCCGCCTTCAGTCTGTGTCCAGTTGTTAATAAGCTCGTATTTTACTTCCCAATATAACGGTCTACTATGAACACCTTGATATGCTCATGTCACGGGTAGCAAGTAGCTTGTGGTATGATGAACCCCATCAAGGCACGGTATAGTGTTAATACTTTACACGCTCTAATTAATTAATCATTTTCCCGTACCTTGTACTCCTTGCATGCAGGTATGGGTCATGTTACCCAGATAATCCATGGATGAAGGAGAAATCATCTTCACGAGTTAATGATAGATAGGGATGGATTAACACGAAGCGACTAAGATGATAGCGGGTGTTACTCTACCACTTTAGATTGGACGTAGCTAATACATACATTCTTGTTCATTATTAGCTCGAAAATCTTAAGTGTAAGTCCATAACTGCAACGAATGATAAAATAAGCTACATCTTTCATTGGAAGAGTTTAAACGGTCTGATAATATTTCAAGAGATATGTAACTCATGTGAAATATATAAGCCAAGATAATTGTTTCAAATCCAACGTCCTAAGAAACCAATAATTTAGATCAAATTTTAGTACTCTACAATTTTTTGCTCAGCTGCTATGAAGAAATAGTTTGTTAAAATTATACATTAATTTGTGTTGCTTTTTAGTCTTTATGAATACTACGTGTGGTTTTTCACTAAAAATACTTTAAAATACAATTTGTTTAAATGAAGATAATGATACTGGTCAAGATATATATGTCAAAGAAACCTATCTGAATTATGAGGGGGACGTTGCCCAAATATAGATGATATCCCAATTCTGGGGGGGGGGGGGGGTAACTGCAACGCCACCCCCTCCCCTGCCTCGTACAATGATGAAAATCATTTACGTACACGTAATTTACATACACGTACAAAATACCCTATTACATTATCGCAGTCGTATGGTCAGCTGTAGGTAATTGGTAAGGACAGGGTGATGGTTCATTTTAGAAAAAAATATTATTGAATTTCAACTTGAAATTAAAAGAAAAAAAATTAACATTTTATATTATTGTCAGAGGTTTTGATACGACATGTATCAGTTTTATTATAAAATTATGATTATCCATCACGAATCCCCCAACCGAACCAAAACCATGGGCTGCTCCTCTTCCAAAGACTTTAGTCTAACGAGGTCAGATAACTCGGAAGTTAGGGTGGTTTTAAAGGGGATATGGTGCTTTATGATAACTTAATGATGCGTAATGAGCCCTTCCCTGTATCATCGTTATCATGTCAACCTATCGCTATCAGTATCATCGACCACAACCGTTCTGAATCGCGTTATGACTTTAAATGACATGATGAAATTGATTGAACTATGATTTCAATTTCTTTCTCTAATATCCGAATGTTTATACTGGTTCATAAATTTATTTTGTATATGTTCTCTTAACAGCTTAAAGTTATCATGAAACTCAAGTTTGGCTAATCTCGGTGTGGGTGGGGGGGGGGGGGGGGCTTTCATTCTGAAACGTCATAAACAGCATAATTAAGAATGGTTTCACTACCACTTTCAAAAATGGCCAAAATTTAAAAGGTTACCAAAAGAATATTCGAATTAGAAGAATAGGACCAATCTATATATTTTTAGTGTACAAATTTAAGGGATAGATATTGACTATTTAGGTCGAAGATTAATCTGAATTAAAAAAAATATTGTTCACAAACTCTCGAATGTTACACGTTGGAAAAACATTATATACACCAATGATATACATGGGCTATACATGTTTTCTAACCATGACATTCCATTGAGTAAATTTCATGTTTTAAATATAATACAGTATTTCCGTTGCCATGGTATTTGACCTCGAGTCCTCGCAATCTCATGGATTATCTCATGATCCAACCTTTGGATAAATCCTAAATCATAAGCTAACAGAGCCAAGAAATGGAAACCGCGTTTCCATACTTCAATCTGTTAACACATCCCCTAATAACGCCTCAAAATGTCACAAACAAGTGAGTTAACGTCATCGAATGAAGCTATATTGTTTACTCATCATTAGTCTGAGAGAGACTTTGATCAGCTCTGACAATATAATATAGCAATTGCCTCAAAATCTCAGTTCAGTATTGCCAGGCAAGTTTGAACATTCTCGATTTCTTATATTTACAGTGACGACAAAGTGACGAAAATTCGATGTGATCATTATTTAAGATTATAAAATGTATGTAAATTAGATTCGTAAATTAATCATAAAAAGGGAGGATACAATCGAACGACATCTTACAGTATTCACGTATCCAATAATATGAATTACATGATTTTAAATTAAAAAGAAAATGCGCTCCTATATCATGTATTTTAGAATACTGAATCACATTCGCGCAATGGGTACTCAACTAGAATTCCTGCATTTAGTAATAGACTACGAGGAAAAACAAAACATTATAAATCAAACATTGGGAATATTCGATGAATGACAAGTGTTATGGGGATTGGATAGTAGCATGATGAGAGGAGCTTGGAAAATAGGATGAGGGGCGGAGAGGGAGGTTGTACAAAACTGTTAAGAAGAGATGCGGTAGAGTTGAGGATGAGGCAGATGTGAGGATGGAGGTTGGAGAGTGTAAATGTGATTTTTTGGAGAGGGGGTAATGATGTGAGGAGCATGTAGAGAGAGAGAGAGAGAGAGAGAGAGAGAGAGAGAGAGAGAGAGATAGAAGGAAGGGAAGTGATTAATAGAGAGGATGTTTTATGTAAAGAAGAGTAATAGGGCTGGGAGAGGGACGATGATGTGGCGCCGAGGGGGCAGGGAGGGGGGGGGGTGGAGATAGTGTAAATGTTATGTGGGAGAGGGTAGCCGGAGAGGAAAGGGGAAGAGCTGGGCAAGGGAGGATAGTGATTAGTTAATAGAGAGGAAGTTTATGTGTTATGTGAAGAAGAGTATTAGGACTAGGAGAATGGCGAGGATAGGGCAGGGAAGAAAAAGGAGGGAGAGGTTAATTTTTTTGTACGTGGTGAGGTGTAATGAGGCGAGGAAAAAGGGGAGGGGGGTAGAATGGTGTAGGGAAGGGGGATGGTGAGAGAGGGGACATTAAGGTATCATGTGGAGAGGAGTGAAGAGGGGAACGAAAGGAGTAAGGACTGGAAGGGATGAGGAAATGTTAAAGTATTTTTGGCAGAGAGGTAATGAAGCCAAGCTAGAAGCTTGTATGATGTGAAGAGGAAGAAGGAGGAAAGCAGATGACTCACTCTTCTAAATTTATAGATGTTTCAGCCTTTCAGGTCCATGGTTGTATCTGTATCATTTTCATACCCCGACAAATTGAGGTATATCTGAATTACCGATAAGTGATATAAACATGTATATCTAATGGCATGATTAAATAGGATGCAGCAAAACCAAACAATCGCACTAGCGGATTAAGGCAGCACATATTTTGACCCGTGAGCCCTTTTAAGACCCAATCGTGCATACCCGTGTGTCCCAAGAAAAATGAAAACAAAATTTAAATTATTTCTTTGAAATTACCTGATATTTTATTCCAATGTGTAGGTGTAAGCAATACAAATAACTTCACAGTCAAGTTCCGAAATCACTTCATATCATAATCATGATCCTTGTGAATTAATCCGTCTCAGAAGTCTTCGTGCAAACTTCCTCTAGCGATACGTCCTCTTAGCGAAAATTCAGTTGTCAGAATGGCATCTAGCGACAGTGCCAGGGAGTCGAGCCGTTTTCAACAACCGAGGGGGGGGGGGGGTATGTAAATGCGTTAATCTCTCAGGGCCAACCATATTCTTAAATCATTCGGATTCGGGTACGCAGCTAGACGCTCCTGTAGTCATGTAAATGAATATACCGAATAATCGGTTGGAATAATGAACACATCGAAACTGTTGGAATGATTTTTATTGTACCAGATGAATTTACATACTTGTGATTTTTTTCCTGTCATTCAAATGTATATACCTCACTGTCATTTCTAATTCGGACGGCACCTCTAGTCTGAGTTTTAAAAAGAACTTTAAAAAAACGCAGGAGTTTGTGGGTCAAGTTTGAAATCCTTGATCCCTAATAATCCTATGAGTCAACAAAACGGCTACTCTGTCATATTGCTACCCTATCACTCACGATACCTGAGATCCGGAACCTATATGATAACCACAAATCTTGTTATTCTTTGGGGGTAGTTACAAGATGGGGTAGCCAATGGTTACAGACTCAACCGAGATCGTTTTAATGAAATCAATTGACTGGGATGTGTCAGACAGAGAACTTTTGATCTGGTTCGGTCTCTCCAGGTCGAGTTGATGGGGAATTCGGAGTGGATGGTTGCTGACAAGTGTACTGGTATATTAAACAATTTTCTTTCTAATTTCCAATCCTCGTTTATTTTATTTTTCTTAAAAAGATACGACAGTATAGACTGTAATCTTTTACAGTAATCATTTACAATCATTATACGTGGACTTTTTGACATGATAACAATAATCAGTACAGGTATTTCATTTTGTTTACGACTCGAGTTTCGGCAACAATAAATTGCTCAACAATTATTTTACATTAACCAAATTCGTAACTTCAACTTTTGAACATAATAACCATGTACCCCCACTCAAACACTAACACTGAACCTGACTGTAAGAAAACCAAACTGCAAGAATAATCCCAAGCCTATATTTT